GGCGCCTCTCAAGAAAATTTATTGTTCTTCTCTTCTTTAAAAACGGTGACAACCGAAAGTGGAATTATAAAAATAGTAGTTCTTATCAGGGATTGAAACCTTTATGGAAAATTTTAAAAAAGTTCTATTGAAATAATTTTTGTGAAACTTTGAAGGAAAAAAGTTCCATTTTACCAGTTTCTGTGAAACCTTTTTAAGAAAAAAGTTCTAAGAAATTTGTTTGTAAGAAAGTTCCAAATTTATGGCAAAAGTTTAACTTTTATTTATTTAAGTTATTACATGAAAAATAAACAGTAATTGGATTAAAAAATAAATAGATTAGATTTATAATTTGTTTAAAATAAACTACACGTGATTCTAATGTGTCGTTTGTTTGAATAGCTATGAATATAAGTCATTTTTTAGCAAAATCAACAGAACTTTTAAATAAGTTTTTTCAAAATAAAAGTTCTGTAAAACCCTTACATGAAAAGTTACAAGGGAAAGCGATCTAGTTCCAAAAGAACTGAAAACCCATTGGCAATAAAAATTAAATTACACTACAACTTTTTAAAAATAATAAGTTTTCCGTTTCAGCTTTTTACACTAGCAATGAAACTAGTGGTCTGTTATACATGTTTCACTTATTTCCAGCTATTATTTATGTTTCTCCACATTTAAATGCCACAGAAATATGTACTCCTCTCAAAAATTCAAAAGTGCGTAAAAATATAAAATATATAGTAAAACTATCCTCTGATTGACTCAAAATTAGAGTTGTGGTTTGAAAAAAATTGAAATTTGAAAAAAAGGAAAAGAAAATTAAAGCACTGAGTTGATATGTTTTTTTTAATAAATAACCATGATACAATATATAACATAAACATAATATATTAACAATATAATTGCCTGTTAATGCAATGTAATAAATTGATGTAATGATGATAGTCTACCACATTTTCATAGAATCAAACAAAATGTATGATCTATTTACATTTATACAGTCATAATAAACTATATACAATTATTCTTACAATAGGGTACAACAGCTAACTAGATTCAGCGTGTAATATAAAAAAATATTGCTTATTTTTTATTTCTTGCTACTGAAGAATTAAATTAACAACCTATTTCATAACTTAACTGTAATTAAAAAGTAATACTTAAAAAGGTTACAATTGTGCACTGTATCTCAATAAATACTATCACATGAGATACGATACTGGAATGACTTAAAAGACAGTAATAATATATAATATATATATATATATATATATATATATATATATATATATATATATATATATAAATACCTATATGATCTGTATTTAATAATCAATTTGAAAATTTTTACATATATATATATATATATATATATATATATATATATATATATATATATATATATTTTTTTTTGTATGTACTCTATATTAGTACATAATACTTCTTACTTGAAGGCAAATTAAACACATTAAAGCATAGTCCTAACTTCCTACAATTCCCTCCCCCATAATAAACTGAATCATAACAATTTCCACAAATAAATAACAAAATCAGATGTAAAATAGAAATCTCATTCTAATACATGAACAATAATCACCAAATAAGAATAAGCTAAGAAACCAGAAGCTGATGAATGAAGCAAGAAAACGGGTAAATATAAATCAATAGGTATGACAAGAAGTCTACATAAAAAGTTCTAACTAACAAAATAATATAATTAAAATATAAATTAATCAATTCATAATCAGGAACTCCAGATCAAAAGGCATTTTGTCCATTTATCTTTTAATCAACAACATTCATTTCAATTTGGAGAAAAACATGATCAAAATTAAGTTTACAGAGAACAAGAAAATTTCAAAGTTCTATGATTAAGTAACAAGAACCAATATGATCCAAATCATTTAAGACTTGGATTTCTTTTCAAAAATAACTTACAATAGACAAAATGTACTTTGATTTGGAGCTTTTCAAATATTCACTAGTATAAAGATGATGAGATATATACTGGGCTGCAAGGAAAGTCATACTGAAGGCATAGAGTAAAACGATAATAAACATCACTTTAAGAAGATTAAAATATCATATGATAATAAATAACTATAATATACACAACATATTCTCCAATTTTATTGGCTGGAATGTAGAATAAAAACAATAACAAATTATTCTCTGAGTGACATTTAATTTCATTTTTAGAATTTTTCACTAAATTTCCTGAGTTAACATGAACTAGACTGAGACCTAAAAATGATATTGGTTATTGGATTTTACTTGAACTGCAGCAATTAAATATAAAGAATATAAAAATTGATCTTGACCATAATTCAGGTTTTGAAACTAACATCAAGAAGAATCATTGACATAAATATAAATTAATAACAAAGTTATTTATTCATAAATTCAAAGGATCTTTTATGTTTATAAATGTCCTGATTACTAATAAGGCCTAACACCAATAGTAAAAAAGTTATCAAGAGCCAAGAAAATATTTACCAAAGGAAAGACAATTGCAAATACACACTGCAACAAATGGGATTAAAGTAAATTAAGAACAAATAAGTCAGTCATAAATAATTCATAGATTAATGAAATTCGGAATGTATAATAAAAAAACAAAACAAGAATCGCTCTTGATACAAAACAACACTGAAATTCTTTCAGTGTGACATGCTATGCGTGCAGCAATAGCAAAATAATGAATAAAAAAAATTATAATATAGATAAAATCTCTTAATACTATAAAAATAAATAAATTAAAATTAATTTCAAAGGAACATAATAAAGTTTTGTATGAAACTTTAAAAAGTAAATTCATTATATTTAAAAAAAAAATGGATTTACATGGAGTTATACAACCAACTTAATCTGATTTAAATAATTTTAAAATAACAAACGCTGGATATTAGAACTCATTCTCCATGAGTGATGCAATTACATATTAGAGTTGATAAAAAAAATAAAATACAAGTTTTTCATACAACAATTTTCCTGCCTCTACTAGTATAATGATTTATTTCATTCAATGATATGTGTTATTTATAATAATGTGTTAATAAAGAATAACAAATGTAAAATACCTATCCTTATATGCAAGATATGTATATAAGAATAAATAGTTACAAAGCAAAAATATTGACATAAATAATCCATCCACAGCTTAATATCCAAATTGAGCATCTTGATTATATTTTAATTGAAAATTATAATTTGAACTCTATTCAAGCTTCATTAATTGAGTAAATTTGAACAAATCAACTAACAACTAATTTTAATTTACAAAATTTATTCTAGAATAACACATTTAGAATGTGTTGATACAATTTCAAAATGTTTGATGAGAAGAATACATCACTTATTTGAAGGAAACTTTATACAGACAATAATTATTACAACTTGAATAACACTAAATTAACTAAGGTCTTACATGAAATAAATTCTTAAAAATCACCCACAAATGCTTACTTCTAAGTAGCAGATACTGAATTGATTTAGCATTAATAAATATTTATAGTGGAGAAACACAACAAACTGTCAAAGTAATAGTTTCTTTATCATGCTTATAATTATGTTGCTTTTTTAAAATTATTTTAATAAATTAGAAAAATTTAGCATGAAATAAAGATCAATAATCACTATGTAATAGTACATGAGATCAGTGAGTACAAAAAGAAATACAGTACAACCTCAATAATCTGAACTTCAGTCTTTCCAACACCCCAATTATCCAAATTGACAAAAAGCATAATAAAATAAAATCAAAGGAAGGAAGAATGGATACAAATGGTTTTCAGCAAATAACAAAATTGCTTGCAGGGAGCCAAAGACGAATTTCTGATTGAAGCCATCTTGCTTGGTCGAACTTCTAGGATTTCCTGAGCTCATATACAATCATTGCTTATTGCTTGCTTATTATCATGGTTATTTTCTGATAACCCCTCACCTTCATTTATAAAAAATAGAATAACAGTGAAGCAAAATGTATTGTTTTGTTTTAAGCTCTGTAATCAATGGTAAACAGAACAATACACCGTGATAACAAGTCCTCCAAAATCTAAGAGAAGAAGCAGAGAAGTTTTTCCAAAATTAAAAAAAGTAAATAAATGGTATGAGACCTTTAAAAAAAAATTTTTAAAACAATAGACACTTGATGATTTCAAGTGATGTATGTACATACATCTCCAGATAATAAAGTTCTATATACATATTATGTTTTAATCTTTTATTGTACATAATGTATTCAAACATATTCTGTAATATCCTCTTGCAACAATTAATTCGGATTACTGAAATTGCAACGTATTTTAATAAATAGAACATTAGTTACTATTTAAATCATATTTAAGTACTTCCTTTTGATTTCTGACAAACTAAAATTTGAATAATAGTACATGATTAATGTATTTGAAAATAATTATAAAAAAATTATTCAAAATATGATTTTTTTTTTAACATCAGTAAAAATATAACTATCAATTAAGTACAAATAAAATCACAAAGAACACTATTATAATAATATAATAACAACTTAAAGAAATAAACCTATTAAAAATCTTTAACAAATAATTTAAAAAGATGATACAGGACAAATCAATTAACTATTTCCACTTTTAAATGAAAATAAAGTTAGGTTTTAATATAATTATGTTGAACAACTTTATAATGATAATTATAGTGATTTATAACATCTCAATTGATTAAACAAAAAAATATGTTTGTTTTTTTGTAATGAAAAACAATAACACTTTGAGAAAATATCTAAAAAAAAAAATACTTTATTTATAAGAAAATGGCCATTCTTAACACATCTTAAAATAAATTATTTTATTAATGGTTAACTTGAAAAATTATTTTGTTACTCTTTCTAATGAACGACAGAACTGGAATAATTAACTTTGAATTACTATAACACTGAACTTTAAAAGTGAAAATATTTTTAAAAATATAATCATAACAGTTTAAGACAAATAATTCATACATATTGGCAAATAAAATCTAACATAGATGTTAAATTGATTGCAGTAAATACCAAAAGATAGATATATCAATTCAAAAAGAAATTATGGATGTTTATCAAGGAATTTTGTTGCATGCCATAGTTATGTTTAAACCTGGCAAAATAATATTTATCACCTTAATAGCCCATTAGTTATATATTGAGACAGGTGTCCAATAATTACTTCTGAACCAAACTAGAATTATACAATTAAGATGAACAAACATTAAAATATGCATTTATTGAACATAAATGTATACATAATCACTTGTTTATAATATGATTATGTAACTGGAAAACTCATTCCCTTGATTACTAGACAAATATCAATGATAATAACAATTCGATGAAGTATTGACTCATCATGGACTAAGGTTAATTAAAAAAGATTTATTTTTCTCTTTTTAAACACTCTTAAATAAACAAGCTAACATAAAAGGCTTAAAACTCAAAGGGTTCAGGAGCAATGAGAAAAAATATTACCAAAATGATTCATAAATCAGGCCAAGAAATAGTGCAGAAGGTACAAAAATCACAGGTGTAGTCAGTCACTATTTTTCTGTAGAGTTTGTTTCCTTAGATCATCAACACAACAAAATGTTTTTTGTAACTGGGGCAACTAAGATCCTTTTGAATTGTAAGCCTTCAATTATTTTCTCAAGAATAATCACAGGATACTAACAAGTAGGTTAAACACAACATTTATCAGTCTTATTGAATGCAAGAACACCTTACCTTACATCATAACAAATCGACTCAAAATACAAATCTGAAAATAAAAAATTAATTTAAAAAAGATAAAAATATCAATAAAAATCACTAATAAAAATCATTTTTACCATTTAAATATTGCTTCTTGATTATTGTCAAACATTTAAGTGACTCTGACTAGACGAGGAATGTTGTTTTACATAAGATTCGTACATGGAACGAGCCTGGTTCAAAACCTTAGTCACATCATGTTTCCTAACCATTTTATCAAAGTGCATAGCCATTTCATTGTAATCCATGTTTTGACGCATAATTGCTTCTCTATGCTGGCATAACACAGTAATACAAAGGAACATTAAAAAGGGATTGCCTCCACCAAATTCTTTAGGAGAAGGTAATTCACCAGGCTTCGCTGCAAATGAAGGTTTCATATCGGCTCTATTCGACACAGTACCATTAGAGGTTGGAATCTCTTTTAACGAAACCTTCCTTCGTTCCAATAAGCTAGCATTCCTTAACTTTTTCTCAGCTTCATTGCAGAATGTTTTGATAGTACTCACAGTAATATTTCCTTTCTTTTCAAATGTTTCATCAGCAGGACTATCTTCACCATCTAATGGATTCTTTTCCCAAACAAATTCTTCACCTTTTGAAACATTTCCAAAAACTTGTCTATCCAAATTCTCTGAATCCATTTTTATTTCCCTGATTAAAAAAAAAAAAAAAGTTTGTTTTAAAACTAAGAGCATTAGTTGTAATCGAAATATATTGATGTAATTTATTTTATTTGTCATTCAAAATTATTTTTCCATTTAAAACTTAATACAATTTTATTTAAATCCAACTAGAATAGTCTGTGGTGCAGGCCGCTTGTCATGAAATTATTAACATCCCCCTAAAACTTCATGAATTGCTTCATTTTGTCATAGCCTACAAATATTTTATCTATGACAATTCTCAGAATTGGGGTGTTTGGCGTAACCTATAACCCCAATAAGCTGTCAGAACGATGTTGTGAAAATTTATGAACATCCGGCTGATTTTCACATTAATGGTTAGTTAAGATGAGTACAATGAAATGGTCATAGTGGCCTACAAAAATATTGGGAGGTTTTGTATGAACTACAACCTCAACATGTCAGAACGAGGTTGTGAAAATTTATGAATATCCGGCTGATTTTCACATCAATGGTTAATAAAAATGAGTGCAATCAAACATACAAAATGGCCTAAAAAAATATTAGGGCGTTTCCAAAAATATATATATATCTATGTATTAATTACAGTAACTTTACTAAGTATCCAGAACATAAAAAAAAAAGAAAGTTAAATTTCGTCAAACATTGTTAAGGACCCTTCTCGTAATAGCTGGTAAACATTTCTGAAGATTCTCGGGTCAAGTTTTAATGTGGAGAAGGGAAGAAGGACAATAACTAATTTTGTTTTTAAGTTTTTTGTGAATATCTCAACAACTATGAGGTTTGACGCAAGTATCATTCTATACAAAATTAAAGCACTTCAAAATCTAAATAAAAATTGTTTAATAAATTTCCTTGATAAAATCAATGGTTACAGAAATATCAAAGGGACAAAATTAATGGAATTAATTACACTTTCAGTAAAAATTGCTTCAAACATTATAAAATCGCTATGTCCAATAGACATGATTCCGATTCAAGGTTGAATTTGTTTTACTAACATTTTCAAGCATTTAAATACATATTATAATCAAATTCTCTTTTTTTTTTTAACGATTTCAATAACCAATAATAAATTATCGAGACTCAAGAAAATAAATAAAAGCCATATTAATTGTCAATTAGTCTTATATATCTTCAAATGCACATTATTCGATAATTATTACCTTTCCGTGTTTCATTCTAGAGCTTGAAGATTAAAGATTAAAGAACAATGAACAAATTTTCTATTCCTGTAAGTCTTACCTTGTTCCCCAGTCCAACACCAAAACCTGACAATGATTTATACAATGTTTACACTACTTTCACAAACAACAATTTAATTGAAAACCAATAGCAATTTAAACATTACTACTTCTAAAAATATTGTTAAATGATTGATATTGAATATTATTTCATTTTGAGTTTCTACAATTTATTATTGGCTTTTAGAATCATTAAAACAAAGTGAATTTGATAAAACAATTTTCACCTCCATATTTCCTTTTTATTATTTTTTTGATCATGTTTCGTACATTTAATAATGAATTATAAGAACATTGTTTATATTATCGACTGGGGAATAAAACATCCTTAACATTTATAGTTTGTCAACATTTTACGTTATTTGAGTCTTGATTGAAAAATATAAAACATATAATTTATTCCCTGCTTCGTAGTAAACATGTTGGGATAGTAGGTTACGCCAAACACCCCAACTTCGAGTATTTTGTAGATAAAATATTTGTAGGTTACGACAAAATAAAACCACTCACGAAGTTTTAGGCAGATATTAATAATTTCATGAAAAGGAGCATGTATCACGGACTATAAGGTTTTTCATACAAAATAAATAAAATAAAGAAACAGTACGAAAAAAGTTTTTTTAATTTTATTAAAATTCTTTAGATGACTACTAATGGTCTTAAATTATTAATATATTGATGTGTATAAAATTGCTATATAAAGATACAGCAAACATTTTTCCATGTTGGCAAAGGCATACATTCTTTCATTGCAAGTCTGGGAATATATAAATAAGATTTATGACATTTATAAGTAATAAAAAGTAAATAATAATAAAGACTTCTTATTCTTCTTCTTCTGGCACTACAGAAAGAAATGGTCATTGAGCTGCTTTAACATCTGTTGCCACAGAGATCTGTCCTTCACCAACTGGATGCCCGCCTGCCACATGTCCTCTTCCACTATCTGGTTTCATCAAGCTCTTGGTTGTACCTTTGGTCTAGTCACGAAAATTCTTCCTGTAAAGATCTTTTTCACCAATCTGTTTTCATTCATTCGGTTGACATGTCCATACCATTTCAGCTTACCCATTCTCTTTACATTTTACAGTTGAAGATGGTTATAAAGATCATAAATTTTTTTCTATTTCGCCACATTCTATTCTCATAGACACCACCAAACATTCCTCGCAGCACCCTCCTTTCACCAGTCACCATGTGTCAAGCCTGTCACATATGTTATTATTTAATGTCCATATTTCCCTCCATATGTAGTAGCAGGTCTTATCAGTGTTTTAATAATAAAATATCATTAGATTATAGAAGTAGAACTCTAATTACTTGTTCTAGTTGAGACTGAGATATCGACATTTAATCTGGAGTTAATTTTAAAAAAATAAACTCTAATGTTAAGTTAATTCTCACAAAAATAAATAAAATCTGTACCATCTATTATTGGCAAAATAGGACTTGCTTTTACAAGTCTTAAAGCCAAAAAACAACAACAAAAAATCTGTACCACTACAACTCATGAAGAATCTTGATTTCAGTATTCTAGTAAGGAAGTACAGTACTTAGGTCAATAGATATAAGAGGAGATTTGGCTGAGATCATGCTTAACAGCTAGGTATTTCTCCTAAATTGATTGAAAATTTAATTGAGCCTTTCAGTTGACAGAATAACTAACTCAAATTTCAAAATGTTTTATTACTAATTTTAGTGATATTTCTAGAGGGAAAATGTATACTTTTATTCACATCTATATTTCAACACTGCAATCAGCTACTCTAGAATCAACTTCCTCACTGTGTGTAAAGATATTATAGAATTTCCAAGTAGAAATATCACTAAAATGACCTAACTCAAAAATATTGAAATTGGAGTTAGTCATTCTGTCAACTGAAATACTCAATTAACTGAGGTTATCCACCTTATAGAGGCTAGGTCTGTATTTTTGGTCTGGCTAGGAGGGTGTACCAATCCCAGTGTCAACTCAGACTTGATGAAACAGAATAATAAATTATTATCTACCACAGCCAGAGTCGAACTTAGTGCCAGCAGGAGATAGCACTGAGTTCATTGCTCTTTAGTTAAAACTTATATTGTGTAAAAATTCTTCTTTATTCGTGATGAATGATGAAATTTTCATTTTTTTTCATTTTATTTTTTAGTGCTCTCTTGTGCTTAGACTCACTATACCTCCATCATGGAAATTTTTTTCTTAAACCTTTGCATTTCTTAAAACTCAACTGAGATTCTAAGACAAAATGTATGAATTGATAACCATGATTACTCTATCAAAGCTAAGAAAAAATGTTTCATACTATAAAATAATCAAAGTATATATAAAATTACATTGTCAAAAATATACCTTGAAACAGAAGTAGACATTGAGCATTCAGGATACTCTGGGGAGTCATCTGGAGACATTTTATTACTTATTTTCTGGTCTTTCAGTTTACTATTTTTATCAAGTGTTAAGAATTCTTTGAAATTTTTAATTATTTTAGGAGGAGAACTATTATTATCATGTTTTCTTAGAGCTGCATCATCCAAACTTGTATACGGTCGTGACTTTAACAGAGAAGCTCGTCTTGTATCTTCGAGACTAGGATGGTTGACTGCTCTTCTTAAAGCACATATCTAAAATTGAATAGTTCAATGAGAAAAGAAAACCATATGTTATTATGAAATATAATGACAATATACGTAGAACATCGAATTGTTAATATGAATTAACATAGAGAAGTAGTAAAATATACAAATCATTATTCACAGAACTATCTCATAAAAATCTGGTGCAATATATAATTTTTACTAACCACTCTTTTATGGAATAAAATTAATTTATGCTTCAATAGGGCTAGTGCAAGTAATGTGAAATGACACTGCTACAGTAAGCAGATATATTACACATTCTTTATTATTTACAATGGCAACACTTCCTCTTAAAATATTTCCATATACAGCAAAGTGGAAGGCAAATTATAAACAATAAAACATATTCATTACAATTAATTACCATTTTTAAATTTTTTCACACTTGTATCAGCCATTTTTCATCACTCTTCATGACCCTCAACAACTTTATATATTAGTTATTAATTTCTCTCAAATCTTTAGCTTACCAGCTGTATATTATACATCTTCATTATTATTCTAATTTCTGAAAATTGATTTTTAATCTAGGACAAATGCCTTCTTTCTTCATTAGTTAATTATCAAATTCTTTCATAATATATAAATAGCATTTCCAAGTCAATTTAAACCTTTTCCAAGTCAAATTCAACCTTTTCCAAATCAAATTAAAATTCTTCCAAGTCAAATTCAACCTTTTCCATTTCAAATTAAACCTTTTCCATTTCAAATTCAACCTTTTTTTATTTATTTAATTATCTTTAATTTTTCGATGTGTGGATCTGTTATCGTATGAGTAGTTTTTGAAAATAACCTCCATTTTAAGATTACGTGACTGCGTTTCGAATTATTTAAGTTTTTTTGATTTATTCGATATAAGGGTGTATTTTTATGTTTCCCGATCCGTAAATTTTGAAAATGATCTCCATTTTAAGATTAGGCCACTACATTTCGACTTTTTTGGATTTTTTTCATGAGGGTGTATTTTTATATGTTTCCAGAGCCGTATATTTTAAAAATGGCCTCCATTTTAAGATTACACCATTGCGTTTCGACTTCTTTAAGTTTTTTTGATTTATTCGATGTAAGGGTGTACTTTAATGTTTCCGGAGCTGTAGATTTTGAAAATGACCTCCATTTTATGATTACGCCGCTGCGTTTTGACTTATTTAAGTTTTTCGAATTTATCCAATATAAAGGTCTACTTTTATGTTTCTTGAGCCGTAGATTTTGAAAATGACCTCCATTTTATGATTACTCCTCAAGTTTAAGTTTAAAAAGTTTAAGTTTTTCAAATTTATTCAATTTAAAGTTCTACTTTTATGTTTTCAGCGCCGTAGATTTTGAAAATTACCTCCATTTCATGATTACGCCATTGCATTTTGACTTATTTAAGTTTTTCGAATTTCTCTAATTTAAAGGTCTACTTTTATGTTTTCGGAACCGTAGATTCTGAAAATGACATCTATTTTATGATTAGGACACTGCCTTTCAACTTATTTAAGTTTTTCGAATTTATCAAATATAAAGGTCTAATTTTTATGTTTCTGGAGCAGTAGATTTCCCCCATTTTGTAAATGACCCCATTTCAAGTTTATGCCACTGTGTTTTGGATTATAAAAGTTTTTTTTTAATTTTTCGGTATAAGGATCTACTTATATGTTATGGGAGACGTATTGAAATTTTTCTAATCTTTAATATTTAAATTTATCTAATATTTAATCTCCATTTTTCGAGATTAAGCCTTGCTGAATCTCGATTAATTAGGCTTCATTTTGGATTTTTTCAATACAACGTTTCATCAATATGTTTTCGAGTATGAATAAATAAATAAATTAATATTATGAAGCTAAAGTTAAATTAACCACAGAATACAAACTAAAAATCCGAAAAGCAACTGGTAATAAATTTAACCTACCGTATTCAGATTTTTCAGCTAATTGTTCGAAATCTTATAATTTTGTTACAGGAGACCACAACATTAAAAAAGATAACTAAAATTAAATTAAAAATGAGACAATACATATTTTATTTATTTCGATTAGATATTTTTATTTATTTATTGAAAAATAAATTAATCCTCCATATTTTTTTTTTATTCGAAGGAAAAATCAAAAACACTTAAAAAACAGAAACACAGTGGCCTAATCTTAAAATGTAAGTCGTTTTCAAAATCTACGGCTCCGGAAACATAAGAATACAACCTTTTATGAAAAAAATTCAAAACACTTAAAGAAATCGAAACACGGTGGCCTAATCATAAAATGGAGGACATTATCAAAATCTACGGCTCCGGAAACATAATAGTAGACCTTTATATTGGATAAATTCAAAAAACTTAAATAAGTCAAAACGCTGTGGTGTAACCATAAAATGGAGCTTATTTTCATAATTTACGGCTCGGAAAACATAAGAATACACTCTTGTATCGAATAAATTTAAAAAACTTAAAAAACAGAAACACAGTGGCCTAATCTTAAAATGTAAGTCATTTTCAAAATCTACAGCTCCGGAAACATAAAAGTACACCCTTACATCGAATAAATCAAAAAAACTTAAATAAGTCAAAAAGCAGTGGCGTAATCTTAAAATGGAGGCCATTTTCAAAATATACGGCTCCGGAAACATATAAGAATACACCCTCATGAAAAAAATCCGAAAAAGTCAAAATGCGGTGGCCTAATCTTAAAATGGAGATCATTTTCAAAATTTACGGATCGGGAAACATAAAAATACACCCTTATATCGAATAAATCAAAAAAACTTAAATAATTCGAAACACAGTGGCGTAATCTTAAAATGGTGGTTATTTTAAAAACTAGGTACAGGACAGCATAACACTAGTCCCTAATAAATCCGAATAGGTACAATAAATCAATATCCGTAAGTGAAAATTCTACTTAGGAGAGCATAATAATAGACTTTCATATCGGAAGGGGGGAGGGGATGGCCATTATTTAAAAAAATATATAAAATTTACAAACAATTAAAGCATTAATTTGAAATGAAAACGGTTGAATTTGAATTGGAAAAGGTTTAATTTGAAATGGAAATGGTTGAATTTGACGAGGAGAAAGTTTAATTTGATCTGGAAAAGGTTGAATTTGACTTGGAAATAATTGAATATGACATAGAAATATTACACTGAAAAAATCTAAAATGTTAAAATAAATGAATATGCAACCGCGTTATCAAATTTTTTTTTTTGTATTTTTCAAAAGCTATGTCTTCGATAATATAGTAAGCGACCTCCATTTCGAAAAAAAATCGAAAATTGACAAAAATTCGAAAGTTGAATTTGAAATGGAAAAGGTTGAATTTGAAATGGAAAAGGTTTAATTTGACTTGGAAAAGGTTGAATTTGATTTGGAAAAGGTTGAAATTGACTTGGAAATGCTATATATATATATATATATATCCATTTTTAAACTGATAGCAATAAGAAATTGGTAATCATTTTAAATATATAAAATTATTGGTAGTAAATAAGTTTTAGTGGCAGATGAAGAACAAGAAGATAAAGAAAAAATAAGGTTATAACACGAAAAATGACATACTTGCCAATCAGATGTTGATGGTTACTACAAAGGAGTGCTCACTGTACATGGACATCTTGTGCATGATAAAAAGTGATATCAAGCAACAGGATATATAAGAAAACAAACAAAAAATACTGAAGTGCCACGTAGCGATCTCCTTCTGGAGCGCAGAAAAAATTATAGAACATCACCACAAGAAATATTCTGTCCTTATTGAAATAAAAGACATCAATTAGCAGACTGTGGCTAAAGAAGAGTACAGTGCACTTTGAAATAAAATTTATGAGCGACAGTGACGTTTCAGACTGTGCAAAGCAAACTGGCAGAAAAATCAGAGAAAAGGAGCCAGATAGAAAAGGTCAGGCAATGGCTTAATAGGAGCCTAGAAAACAACAAAACAGTGCATAGACATATCCTACCCCCCTCTGAAGTAATCCTGGCAGTAGTTCCGTAGAATGTTAACAAAGAATAGGGAGGTGGTTTATTAGTGAGTAGAAATCTCTCTCTATTACGTAATTATGGTTTTATTGTGTAATTACAATTTGTCTTATGAAAAAGTGTTTGCATATACAAAAAAAAAACTCACAGACCATTTTGTAAGACTTAGTCATTTAGACTCAGAGAACACCAAAACGTGTACTTTCATTGAAAACTTGGATTCTAAATTTATCCCATATAGCAATAGTTCCTCTTATACATATTTCAAACATTGGTAAGTGAAAGTAAAAATTAATACATGAATTGCCATAGACTAATCACTAAACTAGGCTTTTGAAAAAATAAAAATTAAATAGACCCTGAATAATTATAATACAAATACACAAATGAATATAATAGAAATTCAGGACTGGACTAGTTATTATGAGAACGAAACAAGAAATGAATTCACAGAGGAAGAAGAAGAACTGTACAGCAGTAAATCCTTATTTGCCAACTGAGAGGAAGTCAAAATTGAGAAATAGGAAAACCTCTGGTCCGGGAGGAATATGCAGAGCTGTTGAAATATGGTGGAATTGAAGAGACTAAAATGCTCACAAACCTTATTAATAAAATCCTAAACGGTGGATACATGCCTCAAGAAATGAAGCTAGGGTATTTGACACCAATATTTAAAAAAGTTGATAGAAAAATTTGAAAACTATAGAGGCATCTGTGTGACAAACACATTCATGAAACTGCTAGGAAGACTAGTGAAAGCACCTTTGGAAAAGCACTATGTTCAAGCTGAGGAGCAATATGGATTTACCCAAGAGAGGTTTTATATTGACCACATTTTCACTTTGAGACGGCCATTAAAAAAACAAATGGACAAATCAAAAAGACTAGATTTAATTTTCTTTGACTTGGAAAAAGGATATGACAGTATGCCACACAAACCCGTAAGGGTATACTTAAGGAAGGCTGGAATAGACCAAGGGATCTTGAACCTAATTCATACAAATAATTATTACATATTATAATAGGTGCCAGATAAAAATAGACTCATTATTATCCAGGGAATTCCAAAACGGAAAAAGATTACTACAAGGATGTTGCATGCTTCCCACTCTATTTAAAGTATACCTTGATAAATGCCTAAAAGGATGGATGAGGAAATGTGGGAAAATAGGTGTCGAGTTTTATTATTTGCTGATGTCCGGGTATTACAAAGATGAAGAGGATATAAGGTACCTATTCAGAAAAATAATTGATCATTATGAGCAAGGAGGCCTCCAAATAGATTACAGCAAAACCAAATAAATACATGAATTGCCATTGACTAATCACTAAACTAGGCTTTTGAAAAAATAAAAATTAGATAGACCCTAAATAATAATAATACAAATACACAAATGAATGTAATAGAAATTCAGGACTGGACTAGTTATTATGAGAACGAAACAAGAAATGAATTCACAGAGGAAGAAGAAGAACTGTACAGCAGTAAATCCTTATTTGCCAACTGAGAGGAAGTCAAAATTGAGAAATAGGAAAACCTCTGGTCCGGGAGGAATATGCAGAGCTGTTGAAATATGGTGGAATTGAAGAGACTAAAATGCTCACAAACCTTATCAATAAAATCCTAAACGGTGGATACATGCCTCAAGAAATGAAGCTAGGGTATTTGACACTTCTGAACGAAACCAGAAATGATAAATGTGCACACATAAAGAAGAGAGCACTGACCCAACATTATGCAACCTAATTAAAGTGGAACAATTTTGTTATTTGGAATGCATAAGTGGTAGTAGTAAGAGAATAGAGGAAGAAATTCAAAAAAAGATTTCAATTCATAAAAAAGCAGTGGGAATGCTTAATTCTTTACTCTGGAGCAGCAATATTTTACTGAAAACTAATATTCAAAGCTTTGGTATTTCAAACATTTCAGTTGAAATGGATTTTTGGACAACTGCTAGGATATCAAGGATCGAAAGGGTAAGAAACACCACTATCAGGGAGAGATTGGAAATAATGCAAAATATCCTGGAGGTAATATAAGAAAGGAGACTCAGGTGGTGTAGCCATGAGAGGAAGACCCCCAGTTAGATGGAAGGCTAGAGAAGTAGAGAGTATGGCTAGTAGGGAACTGTCGGACGAGAATGCAATGGACTGGCAGAGATTAAGAGACTTAGTAAAGAAAGAGTTTGGTTGTGGAAAACTTCATAATGAAGAAACTCCTAAATAAAAAATATACTTATGCTTTATCTACAACAAAGTCATGGGCAGTAAAGTAACAACGAACATCATATTAATGATAATGATTTACTAGTGAGCCAATATGAACGAATGGCACTGGCGAAGAAGGTGATTTTCAAAATGAAGGCTTGGATAAAGAAATAATATATAAATTTGAGAAATAATATATAAGTATAAAATAATATCTACAACATGATAATTCACCTTGGTATAGGCATTTTCTTTAGGTCGAGGGCTAACAACTGTTGGACTTTTCATAAATTCTTGTTCAAAAAGAGTAATTTCTGATTTTGGAGGATCAGGTGGTAAAGAGCTCCACATGACTTCAAGCATTCTTAAAGCATCGTCAAAGGCGAATTCCCTTTTCATTTCTAGTAATAGCCATCGATAGCAGAAAAGTAAATCATCAGCCTTCAAAATAAATATAACAAGCAAGGATTAAAAAACTAAATTAAACAAAACAAAAACAAAACATTTAATCAGAAAATCTATACTTGATATGATTTTAAGTAGGCATAAAAATCAGGATCATAATGTTGCAGACCATCTGCCAAATGTTGAAACCTTTTTGTCATAGTAATTCCGTCAAGAAGAAAATTTGGAGCTAGACGATCCATCAGAGAACAAAAACAGATATAGGCATGTGCTTCATCGTTCATTGTAACAAGAAGTGGAGAAGCTAAATCACTCATTCCTTGACAATAGCTGACAGCAGGATGGTTTAAGGCATAGCTGAAAGGTTAATATCAAAACTTTATATAGCTGTAATTATTTACCCAATGCAATGCCATATGGATATTAAGAAACTAACGTCGTCAGGATGTTGAATAAGGAAGCAATATTTTTGTTGTCATCATTACCAGCATAAAACCTATGATGTCTATCAGTGCGCAAGACATCTTTTCTAACCATACCAGTTACATATGCTAGGTCACCAACCATCTAAAATTTTTTTTAAAAAATTTATTTTCCTCAAAACAATAATGAAGCAAAATATTTTTTTTTTAAATATTAAATGTAATTATATTTACATTGCCATTTTTAAGCATTTCTCTCCATTTATCTCTTAAATTGTAATACTCATTTGACTTCTTTTTCATGTAATCCATTCTTTCTTTTCCAGACATTCCATCAGGATATACATTCAAAATATGCTTCCAGACTACTTTCCTACAAAATTAATTGTTTTTTATAAGAGACAAAATAAAATATACTTCAGAAAATAAATCAGGATTTCTTTAAATATCTTACACTTTTCATAATTCCCACCTCATATCGTCGGAACCATGTTAAAGTAATGAATGTGAACCTGTTTAACGTTGCACATTCATTATTTTAATATGGTGCCGATGATATGATGACAAATGTTAATATTTATCACTATTCTCTTAAATGAACTTTAACAAAATATATCAAAAGGCATTGGTAGGATAAGTATACATATAAACCATATCTATATAAAACATTGATGTCGAGGTTCAATAAACTCAAGTCTATGATCTGATGAGGATACGAATATAAATCAGAAGAGACAACACTGTACACATAAAATGAATTGTGACAGTCAGAGCCATCAAAGCATCTTGAGTCAACAAACAATGCACAATTAAAACAAATCAGTTATTAAATTTTCTATTTGTCATAAAACTCTTTCAGTCTATAGGTTTGTTTGTCTAATAAACCAATCTAGTTGGCTGGGTATTTTTGGCATTTAATTAACCAGTTTAATTTAAGACCATCATAATTAAAAATTTAAGCCTTACTGATAATAAAATGCTTTCTAGAAAATACAAGAAAAATGATTTTCCTTCAAAATTGTTTGTCTAACTAATAAAGTACCAGAACATTATTCTGATTAGTTCATTAATTTCCAAATTGTACAATAAATACTGCAGTCCTCTCCCATGAGTTGCATAACTAGTATAACTGAAGTTCATAGTAAGGAGGATAAAATAAACATACAATAAATGGTTATTGTTATCTAAAAGTTGTATTAAACTAGTAGGCTAATGCAAAAAATCCTCACAGCATATTGTTATCAAATGCCAAATTAATAAGAAAAGAAAATAATGCAACGTATCAAAAGATATAGAAATCAATTGTTACTTTATCGATAAATATAATCGACAAAGGAAACAAAAATTAATTTAAATCTTCATTAATGTTTGGAACCAACATGTCTAAAAATATCAATAATCTATATCTTTAATCAATATCTAAAAATTTTCCGATTTCGATGATTTTTTTTTCCTTTTGTAGGTAATTTAGTAATCTTTTATATGATCATGGCCATAACCAAGGGAAAATTATGTACATTTTTAGTTATTCGCAAATAAAGTTTGTTTTCTTTCATAACTTGATTGCCTGAATTTTCGGGGTGATTGGACTATTTTGCCCGCCTGAAGGAGAAAGAAGCCATCGAAATTGGTGGCTCAATCTTGAGATTTGATGAAGAATTAACGACGATATGGCTTGCCGATCAAAAACACCATCGATAAATAATATAAACTCCTCCTCTCTCGATCATAGAGGCCTCAAGTCGACGAAATGAGACATGTATTCAATGACAGTTCTACAATTAACGTAAGGTTGTGTGGATGCGAACCCTATGCCTTGCGTTATCTCGAAAATAGTACGTTTTTGGGCTTAAAAATGGTGGATCCAATAGTTCCAAAGGAACTATCCGAGTCTTGCTGTACGCATCAAAATCTTCAAGGTCAAATTTCTCCCACACTGATCTACAGACATACTACCGTTCCAGTATTGAAGCCTAGCAAAATGTTTGTATCGACTTTATTTATTTTAGAAAGAAAAACAAAAGTGGAGAATATGATTCGCTAACCTCCTGTGAAATTCTGAATCCAACGGTACCCCAACCCCATTCATAATATTTGAGCATGACAGGAAACTTATATTTAGTACAAAACCGATTTTGAGCCTTATTGTAATAATATATGTGAGGATTTAATATGGTTTCATAAATAATATCTTTAGAGCTCAATAAGTATTGCTTTTTCTGGTTTATTATTTTTTACATTACTTATCACTGAACAAAATTTACCTTAGACTTGGTTCAATGCCACCTTTATATATTACATCTCGAAGCTCAGCAACATTAATTACTTGACCAATGGGATCAAGAAACTGTCTGAATTCAGCATCAGTGAGGGGTGGTCTAGGAGGTAAACAACTTACATCAGGAGTTTGGGCTTCTTCGGCAAAATTTAATGCCCGCTGAACTAAATTGAAAGTTTTTTCAACCTAGAAACAGATTTCATTTCCAATTAATTTAAAACTGAAAAAATAATAAAAATGTACACATGAAAGAGATGGTATAAATTTTAATAAACATAATTTGAAATATTATAATGTATTTGCAGTAGAAATACATATCATTGAACTCAAAATATATGAAATGTAAATAGTAATATTTTAATATTTAAAATATTACATTATATAAATATTGTAAATTTTCATAAATATAATTTTTAATTTTGTTATAATATAAAAAACTAAATATTAATTAAATCCAACACTAGACAAAAACTTTTATGAAAGTTGAACAAAAACTCACAGAGCCCACACATATACTCTAAGATAAGGGTCCACAAACTGTTTTCACCTGCAGGCAAATTTATAGGTTATGTCTTAGGTGACAGGCACCGTGTTTAATTTTAATTTCGATTTCATGTGGGTTACTATTTGTAATGTTTAAAAATAAAACTTAAAGGGTATCAATAAAAAGAAATATATATGTTTAGCAACAACCTTTTTTAATATTTTTAACACTAATGATACATAATTCTACAAAAAAGAGTAAACACCAAGTGTAATGAATGTTATTAATTTTATGTAGTTTTCTTATATTAGATTAACACATTTTGAAAATTAATTAAAAGTGATATGGGTATGGGTAACTAAGTATGAAATAAGTTTAATGCAGTATTACCAACAGTGCGATTCATTTTTTTTTTACTACGAAAGAAAGAGATTGATCAAAATAATTTTGTTTCCATAAATGAATTATTATTTTCAAATAATTCATTTGTACTTCTAAATATTACATCTATAAAATCGTGTTATATTTTTCAGTATACATATATTTAAGACACAAATTGTAAAACTTTTGAACTGAAAACTCATTCGTCTGTTGCCAAGATAATCGCTGAGAAAGGTTATATTAGATATGAGTGGGCACAAGTTTGCTCACAGGCATGAGTGATGTCATAGTGGTGCCCGCAATATCTGGGTTGGAAACTCTTGCTCTAAGAGATAGAGCATTTCTAATGAGATAGAGATAGAGCAAAAATAGAGCAATCCAACAAAACAACAATAAACATTTTGTTTTTTATTTCTAGTGAATAATTAACAAGTTTGCTAAATATAGGAATGAAATAAAAAAGTAACTAACATGGTTCATAATATTCATGATTCCGGGTAACCCTGGAGGTTTTGTCTCTACCAACGTCATTGTTTCTTCCTCCACTTCACCAATTTCTTCATATAGTTTTGTTTCTACTCTTAGATAGAGATACGGGTCAGAAGCTCTGAAAACAAAAATAATTCTTTTATTTGTTTATTTAGAAATATTACATTCTGTCACATCAAGGACATTTATAATAGTGTTCAGAGAAAGCACACTCACACTCTATTTACAATAAAAAAAAAAAAAAAATAATACAGAAACTTAATAATAATAAATACAATAAATAAAATAAAAATAAATACAATAAAATAAAATAAATGTATATAAACAAAAGAACTAACCTAATCATACACACTCGGGCTTGAGTGGAGGATCTGGCCATTGCCAAAACTCCAATAGATGCTTATTTACAAAAGGTCTCTGGGCCACTGCCGCTTCAACCTTCGAGGAGGATTGTAAGGATGGGTGGTGCTGGATAGAGATTGTGCAAGGGGATTTGGATGATAGGTAAGGTTCTGGTGAAATTTGGAGAATTTTTCTGGAATAAGGTCTAGGACAAATGGGATATTAAGGTCATGGTGTAGGATTTTGTTATTTACATAGAACGGAGCATCAACTATTGCTCGAAGGACTTTAGATTGAAAGGATTGAATACGTTTGATGTTAGAAGCTTTTGCTGTACCCCACAGTTCAAGTCCGTATGTCCATATAGGTTTCAGTATTGTCTTATAGATAAGTAATTTGTTTTCAATAGAAAGTTTGGATTTTCTGTTTAGTAGTCTGTATAGCTGGCCGTATCGTCGGTTGAGTTCTTGTCTTTTGAGTCTAGTATGTGGGTTCCACGTCAGTCTTCGGTCTAAATGAAAGCCAAGATACCGGACTGTGTCTGAATAAGGAAGCTGGATGGAATTAAAGTGTACTGGTGGACAGGAACTGCGTCGGAGTGTAAAGGTAATGTGTTGGCATTTAGATTCATTAACTTTAATGCGCCAGTTATTACACCAGTGCTCAATCAAGGTGAGGTGGTTTTGGAGATTTAAGGATGCTATGTTGGGATCTGAGTCGGATGATAGAATAGCGGTGTCATCAGCAAAAGTTGCCAGGAAGGTATCGGGATGGACAGGGATATCGGCGGTAAAGAGGATGTAAAGGACGGGACCCAATACGCTACCTTGAGGAACACCTGCCTCAATTGGATAGCAATGCGAAAATTCAGTACCGCAACGAACTCGGAAGGTACGATCTGAGAGGTAGGAACGGAGAACAAGGTACAAGGACTGAGGAAGATAGTTTTTCAGCTTGGAAAGAAGCCCGGCGTGCCATACCCGGTCGAAAGCTTGAGCTATGTCCAGAAATGCACCCGAGCAATATTGCTTGCTTTCCAATGCTGCGGAAATATGATCAACCACTCGGAGTCCTTGTTGGACTGTAGAGTGTTGTGAACGAAATCCGAACTGATGGGAAGGAAGAGTTTGGGATTCTATAAAGGGTAGGATGCGTTTTAGGAGGATCTTCTCAAAGATTTTTGAGAGAATAGGAAGAAGGCTAATTGGTCTGTAGGACGTTGAGGTGTTGGGAGGTTTGCCTGGTTTCGGAAACAGGATAATAGTGGAATGTTTCCACAAAAGAGGAAAGTGGGTGGTTCGTAGGATGCTATTGTATATGTATGTAAGGAATATGACAGCTTTAGGAGGGAGTTGTCTAAGGATCTGAGAGGTAAGCAGGTCGTATCCAGGTGATTTACGGGTAGGTAGTTTTTGTAAAAGGAATTTGACCTCAGAAGGATTAACTGCTTTAGGCGGTAAGGAGAGTGGGATGGGTGAATTAAGGAATTCCTCTACTGCTGACGTGTGGGTGGGATTGGATTCTGGATGAGAGGTGAATGTAAGGGAAAGGTTTTTGGCGAATTCTTCGGCTCTATCTTCGTCAGATGCTGCCCAAGAGCCATCACCTCGACGGAGAGGATGTGATATGTGATGGGGTTTTAGGATATGTTTGGTGGTCTTCCATAGGGAATTGTCAATAATCTTCCATAGGGAAACAAAAATAATTAAATAACTAAAATACATAAGTATATAATATAGGGTTGGCAAAAAAACCTTTCAGTTTTCAGGGTGAAATAAAACTCAATGTATTATAAACATAAAATTTATTTTAATCTACAATGTATTGACCATTATTTAATATGACTTTTTCCTATCTTTCCACTAACTGCATAATGCCATGGTTTATAGAATGTCCAATACAAATTATACAACATTTGATTTAATTACACTACCCGTTGCTAAAATTGTATAACCGTAATTTACATGTATTCTGTAGTTCAGATTGTATTATTTTTTATCAACATAAAATAAACGGAACGGAACAATAGTTCAGACAAAATCTTAATTTCTTGAATATTATACATCACACCTTATATCCAATTCACATTATAATTATTCTTATTGCCAAATTGTAACCATAATAAGGAAAAAATAATTCTGTGAATAAGAAGTGTTGTGACTTCGTTACGGTCCATCCTGCTTTGTATAAGTAAAATAAAATATGAAACGGTCACTACATTTTTTTTTTATATAATAGAGAAAAAAAAATTATTTATTTAGTTATAGAGCAACCAACTTCTAAAACATTCATTTATTTTCAATTTTTACAAAATATTTAGGTTTCCAACAGAACTGTTTTCTCACACATTTCACTGGTGTTCCATTGTTTAACTATATCATAAAATAATGATGGAATATCAATGCAATCCTCTTCTAAACGGTTGTCTGAGGGATTTTATATCTATTTCAATACAAAATTAAATTGATATTAAAAGAACTAAAGGTAAATACTATAAAACTATGTATAAATATACCAAATTAAACACAATTATAGTGAAAATAAAATAAATATACATACCCAAGAAATGCAGCATCCATATCCCAATCTGAGAGCAATGGGATATAGGTTTCTTGCCCATAGCCATCAAGAACTTTATAGCAAATGGAGAAACTTCTGAAAAAACAAATTTAATATAATCATAAAGAAAAAAAAAAATGTTTACAAGTAAATGGTATTGAATCAAAGCCTTCTTTCAAGGAATATAGATTTCTTCAATTACAATGTCATATTTTGATCCAGCACACCTAAAAATCTTCGATATGGAAAAACTAATTTACTATTACTATTGTTTTTTTTAATGTATTCCCTTTTTTACTTCTTTAGTGACCATACTATTTAACACAAACTATCTAAGATTTTTAAAATTTTAATACTTGACCATTTGTACATTAACCACAACTTTGAGACAAATCGAATAAATAAACTGATATCAAGAAAAAAAACATGTGTAACCGTAAACAAAAGGAGAGAATTGGAATTGACAAAATTGATATTGGATAATTTTTTCACCCAAACTTTCCCCCAACTGTGAGTCATATAGAAGAAACACTGAGTATAGAATAAACTAGAGGATCTACTTCTCTTCGAGCGGGCCTTTACGGAACACTGAATTTTAACTTGTTTCTTCTTTTTATGACTAATTATAATGGTTAATATTTTTTCACTATTACAATTAATAAACCGGAAATGGGAAAGATGAAGCATATTGTAAAATATTAATTTAGAGCATATTATAATTTATTCATGAATTTTTTATTGACCTTTCAAGTGAAAATCAGTTATCTTATTTTTTTTTCTCAATTTCTTCAATTTTATCTGTAACACTTTTTTAAATTGTTATTGTAAAATAAATTTTACCAGAATCTGAAGGAGCCAATGGTTATGGTTATCTTCCAAACCCATTAAGAAATGATCATGGCCCTCAAAATATTTTGTTTGTAAGCATTCAGCAGTCACCTTATTTTTTTTCTTTAATATTACTTATGAAATTTACAACTGTACAAATTAATATAGATTCAGCAAATGTGATACAAAGAAATATATGACATGACAAGGCTTGTAGAGAATCTACCCATTGGTAACACTCTATAAGCTTATTTAAATAAATATTTATATCGTCCATAAAAGTTTAGCTGCTTCTTATTATTTTTTCACTAGTTTCACAAATTCTTATTAATTAAACCATTAAACCAAAATTCCATCATATTTTTATTATGATGTATAAATTAGTATATCTTGGTATTTTATTTATAATTTTTCACATAAATATAATTAGATGTTAAAAAAAAGTATAAGTAAAACAGAAATAAATAAAAAAAAAAATATTATTCTTTCAGATTAAAAACAAAGAGCTCTATCATATTCTTAGCATGTAGTATATAAGTTGGTACATATTTAATTAGTTCAAATTTTAAAAATAAGTAATTGTTAAAAAATAATTTCATGGAATGAGTTTTTGGTAACACGGAATAAACTCAACCTTCCATCTCCTCTCAAAATAGTGATTTTGCTTTTATTTATTTTATGAAATTGATAAAAAACTTAACACTGTCCCACTTATCAGCCCTAGTCCTAATTACCCTAGTATCAGCCCTACCTGATTTAATTGTAATTGTATAAACGATTATTTGCTATTTAATAATCTTCACAGGGCCCGTTAATTATATATTTTTTGCTTAATCGAACTATCGAATAAGTGTTTTCATTAGTTACAATAAAATTGCAAGTACTAGGCTATTGAAAAATGTAAAATAGATAATTTTACTTCATTCAAACTATAATAAGATTTTTTCACTATTTGTTACCCTGTTCATTTTATCTTTATTACTTTGCTACCCCATTAATTCTCTTAATAAAAGTAGTCAAGATCGATTGTAATAAAAACAACTATCTCATTTGTTTTAATAATTTAGTTTGCTAAAACTAGCCGATTCTGAGAGATAAAATTATTTATTCTCCTTTTTTCTCTTTTACTGCCACTTGATCAGGACTATATTGCTCTAATTTTATAACAAATTTAGTTGTGATTGAGATAGTATCAAAAACTATTTTTCGGCACCTTACATATCGGATCGGTATTGCCAAGATTTTTTTCTGAAAAGTCTATTTTCAACCACTGTGGGCCATGGATGTAGGAGAGTAAGATCCAGTAGGGTTGGGAGTAATGGGACACATCTCGCCCAAGCCAAAGGCGACACTACTTTATTCTATACTCACTGTATAGAATGAGCAGTTGTTGAAATATGGTAAATACATGTATGCACATGTAAATGAAAGTAGTGAATGAATTTCAATAAAACTGAAATGGATCTAGATTCCTGGGTATATCCCACAAGTCTCAGAAAGTTTCAAAGATGGCACTATGGTGGCAGCAGGCATTCAAAATGTGAACAACCAATTCTGCACAACCTTATTTCCATAGGCACTGGAGCCTTATTAATTAATTTACTTTTAAAATGACGAAATCCTTGAGGATAAATATGTATATAAATAAAATGCTGAATAGCAGTAATTCTATACAGATAGCCCTGAAGCAAGGGTCCAAAAATAGACCTGATCACAGGCGAAGGTTTGAATGCAAATTACGAAAGTGTATGTTAATCTAAGTGAAATTAACCTTGTTAGCCATTCCAGAGCTGCTGCTTTAAAAAATGGCAGCTGATTTAAAGAATATTAGGCGAGTAACTTGAGGATCGAAACAGGAAATTGATTGTGGAAAACGTGAGAAAAGTTTATATTTTTTAAACTTGTATATATAGGTTTAGACGTGTATAAAACAAAATTGCTGACGCAGGACATTAAGGGAAAACTTTTAACAGCCAAAAAAGTCAGATTTCTTTTTTTTTTTTTTTTTTTTTTTTTTTACCAATAACTCCTAAACAATGCATCAAAGCAAAAAATGAACTCTTTAAAAACCAATTTGCATATACCTTTTTAGTTTTATAAGTATTAACAATCTATAATCATAACATATGATCACCTACTTATACATAACCTGATATGAAACCAACAAAAAATTGAGAATACTTAAAATATAAATAAAATATGTTTTTCAGTATTGAGCTCATATTGTTTCAAAACGGTAACTGGATCTCACAGAATAATTTAAGCAACCACACTTAAAACCCAACCCAACCATTATTTAAAAAAGTCGTATACCTTTTAACAGATGGATTTAACACATTTTATGAATACATTTATGTTTTTTAGCACAATATTTTAAACAATAGTCACTGGATCTCACTGAATAATTAGAGGCATCAAACTTAAAAAATCTAAATTTAATAAAAATGCAGCCTTTCACTTTAAAAGTTGTTACATACCTAATTGTAGTCAATCCTCTAAGCGGTTTTCCTGTTGAGTAATTATGACTAGGTTTAAAGTATTTGTTACTTACTTCCTAGGTGCTACAACCCACTAGTAAGTCATTATTTCCAAAACCAACCTCCACCAGTCGTCTTGGTTGTGTGCCACTGCCTTTCAGTTCCTCACATACAGCATTGTCCGGGCGCCATGGACCAATCCATCTTCCCATCATAATTTTGGTCTTCTAGACCTCCTTTTCCTATGTATCTTTCCTGATAGGATCTTTCTTGGGATCTCTTGTTCCCAAATTCTTTAATAATTGTCAGGGCTCAGCAATTTGTAATATCAGAGTCACCATATAAACGATTAATTTGCTGATTTGTTCTACTTCAGATGACCTAAAGACAAATTCCTCCAAAGTCTTCCTTTCAAATACTAATGGACTTAGCTCATCCTTCTTCAATGCCCATGTTTCTGAGCTGTTTTCCATAGCAGAGGACTGGTATGTTGAGTGATTTGTAGAGAAAAAGTTTATTTTTCCTGGCTGAAGGCTGTACATCTGATCAATAGAAGACCTTCCTGATTGAAATCTAAATTGATATTGACCAGGAATCTATTCATTGTTGGGGAAGTCTTTGATATAAAATATTAGAGAGTATGTTATATGCTACTAGAAGAAGGGAAACACCTCTATAATTTGAGCATTCCAAATGTTCTCCCTTTTTATGTATGGGGACATTACATCAATAATGGCAATATTCATTACATCAGAATAACTTAGCGGGAGGGATGCCTCTCCTTCTGCGAGAAGATTTGTTCAAGTTCACATATAAAAAGAAAGGTTCAAAAGGTCTACCAGGAAATCTTTAAGAGACAATTGATGAAAATCCCAGAAAATGGAAAACTATTATCTGGGAAGATGCAATTGAAGAGTAGAATCAACGGTGGTTAACAAGCCCAAAAGGAGCCACCTCAAGGAAATACTTTCCCACCATTCAATCACATTTGAAAACCAAGTGGATCCTCTCGGATTACTGGATCTCACAATTCCTTACTGGTCCTGGGTGCTTTCAAGCCAAACTCCATGGCTTTAGATAAGATACTGATCCCCTATACCATAGCTGTGGGATCTCAGAGACTGCTGAGCACATTATCATGAACTGCACCGCCTTCGAGTCACCAAGGGCCAAATTACTGCAGGAGACCAGCATCTATGTACTCACAGAGAACGGTTTCCCTCAGCTATTTATAGAATGAAACTACAAGGAAATAGTGTACGGGTGTAAAGAAGCAATTGGGCCAGCACACTTCAACTTCACAAGAAGAGGACCCGCATCAGGAAGGCCACCGGAACAAGGATGAGTGGAATAGGAAGCCATAAACAGCTGTCTATAATAAATAGCAATCTATCAAATAACACAGTCATTATCATATCATATTTGGATTTCAGAAATAATTTGAAGAAAAAAGGTATAATTTTAAATTAACATTTAAAGCAAAAGTAAGTATAATTAATAATCCAATTACCTAAGTATTTACTATTTCTAATAATATGAGCTAATAGGGTCTGTGATAAAATTGGTGTTGACTGCTAGTATGTCAAATTTAGCAGGAAACAGATTTAAAAAAAATAAAGAGATGTAGTTAAATTGTATAATGTAAGCTAGCGAAACATCTATAGCCAAAAAGCACCCATTCCAATTACTAAATAACCATTTTAGGTTTGCTGAAAACCAGAAGTAGATATTCTGGAGAATTTTTAAGATTTTGCTAGCAGGCGAAGATAAAAAAATTTAAAACTAAAAGTATAAAACTGTATAACAACCAATAAAATACAATACAATAATAAATTACAAGTACAAATTAAATAAAACCCATAACTACATCCGAAATTTAAAACAATAAAATTTTATAATCATTATTATTACTTTAACATTTAGCAATGTGAAAATGTGTTCGGTTCATTTTAAATCCATTTAACTTAATTAAAGCCAGTCAAACTGTGGATTTTCACTGGACACTATCTTTAAATAGCTCTTTCAATTTTCCATAAGAATTAATACGCAATCAAAAATTTTTAAAAAGTCTAAGAATAAGTTACCCTTTGATCTCAAATGCCTTGGCCAATAAACTAACAAGCACTTCAAAAGTAGTAATCTGTGGATCCACACTGAACTTTCGGTAATCAGGATTAGAAGAATCCCCATCATATTTCTAAAAAGAGAAAAAGTTTTACTCAATACAATACAAATATAAATCTTTTGCAAAATTACATGCATACAATATATAGATACATTAACAAATAGACTATTGGTGAAAGATTAAAGATTGTTACAGACCATACCAATCTTAAATTATATAGAAAAATGTTTTGTCTTCAATTGAAGCAACTGTGATTTTTATAATCATTATTGTGTAATGATTTTATATTTTGAGGCAAAAAAAATCTTTCACAAGAGTGAACTTAGTATATTCCAAGAAATACACGAAATCAATGTCTTAGAAATTATTTACAGAAGTTAAGACAAAACAATCTAATTAATAAATGTACAACTGGATGCTACAACTAAATTCCCAGATGTAACTACTTACTACTACTTTGACTCGAATAGCTTCTCTTTTATAATCAAATACTGTAGACATTATTAGAGATTTTTGCTCCCTCATGTTCCCTAAACTCCAATAAACCATAAAACATGAAATGGTATTCAATATCAGCAGAAAAAATTAAGTTTTAATTTCTGCAAAGGTAATTCAAAATGGTAGAAAACCATACAAGACAATGTTAATCAACAGCTTAGCTTCTAGGAGCAAATCAAACATTATATATTGTTATAATTTAGATAAAAACATCAGATTGCATTTCAAAACATCCCATTTTTGAAATCGTTCCCCAGCTGATATTGACGGGACCCAATGTTCAGGCCTGTTGGCTTGATTATTCATAAGAAATTTTCCCTAAAACCGCACACTTTTGTCAGTGAAAAGAAAACTACTTTTTTTTTATTAATAGTTGATTTATTAAACTTTTCAAACTTAAAAGATAATGTTTCTTTTCAAATAATGAGTTGATTAATTAGGAAATTGGACATATCGCACCCCCCCTTCCACCGGGAAAAGTGGTAACTTAAATACAAGCTTTCTGAATTATGTCTCTTTTCTGCAGGGATGTCAAATAATAATCAAAAAAGTAGTTTCAATGGAAAATAACAAAAACATACTCATAATTAGAACATTTTATTTCAGAAATATATGTACATCTATAACCGTGTATAAACATCTCTAAAAATTTAACACCTAAAGATGGTAGGTGACTTAAAATGGCTTAGATGGTTCTTCCACTCGAAATTCCTTCCAAGTTGTGGATGAAATTAATATAGTCTAATCCTACAACTATCAAGGTACAAACTCGCTCAATCTCTTAAAAATTCATGAAAATCGGATTAATATTTATAAATGATATGCCTGTCCTATAGATGATTTGGCTAACAAATTTATACCTTGATACGTAAAAAGTACTGTTGGAACTGTTCAAAAATTAGAAAATACAATCGGACTGTAAATAAAGAAAGAAGAATATGGTTATATATATACATATATATGCAAAGAAAAGCAATGAATGATAAGTAACAGCAGAATGGAGAGATCATTCTTCAAAATTTATTAGGTGGTAGTAGGAGCTCCACACTTGAAAAATCAAGTCACTAGATGTGGGTTTGGTTTGGGGGTTTAATTAGATCTTGATGTTTATGAATCTAGCATTTAATTCATACAATAAATTAATTCATAATTGGTTCGTTTAATGATGAGAATAGTTAACCAATAGTAACCATAAGCCATAAGAATATTGAGTGCTACCCCTTTTCCTCCTCTCATTGCTACCGCTTACTGTATATCGCCAAATGTAATGGATTCACGAATTCATCACATATCTCATACTTTGGTGTCGCCTTTATTACTTTCACTTAACTATAGTAATGTAATAAGAGAAAGTATGAATGCGATCGTGAAAATTTTCGAATCTCAGTTTGTAACGGAAATACGCGTTTTGAGGTTCCCTGAATCCAAATAACCAAGTCCCGAAAAGTGGTCTGTGTGTTTGTGGAATGCTCGTGCGTGTGCCTGTGTGTGTTTATCTGTTAACAGTCTAGTTAAAAAACGAAAAGTCGCACGAAGCTGATATTACATATTTCAGATCGGTACATGACTGGAATATTAGAACAACTTTTTCCTTAAAATCGGCTCCCCGGAAATGTCAATTTATACACTGATGATACACATTTTTATAATTTTCTCAAAAACGGCTCTAACGATTTTGGTTAAACTCGGTGTATCATTGTTTAATTAAGTGATATTTAATATAATTTATGTCTTATTCCCATTGGTCAGTTTACAGGGCATAAATGCCAAATGATTAACATTTCTTCCCTTTGTGAAATCCCAACATTATACACTTACAATTAGCAACACTTACAATTACAACGTTTGACTTATCTATGGCAGGCAATGAAAATCTCGTAATTTCATTCTAGTAAACTTTACATTTAATTTTATTTAATTTTTATAATTTATAGATTTCTACTTATAATTATAACTTTAGTTATAACTGTCTATATAGCTATAACTTTTCCAACTAGGAATATCACTAAAATGACATTACTCAAAAATGTTGAAATTGGAGTTAGTCATTCGGTCAAATGAAAGGCACACATAGCTCAGAGACTGAAGTTATATAGTTTGCAAAAACAGATGGAGTAACGAGATTTTTATTGCCTATCGTCGATATAATAAATAGAGTTTTGGTTTTGGTACTTCAAAAATTTATAATAACCCAACATTGTCAGAAAATAATTTCTATTCAAAGTAGAGTGGTAAATGGAAGTTGTGTGTTGTGCGCACCAGATTTTTTAAATTAAATTTAAGATTTTAAAAAAATTATATTCTTTGTATAGATTTTATTTCATATTAGAATATTTATAAATTGTAATAATAATAAACTACTTAGTATAATATTATAGAGTTTGAAATCATTTACCTACCTGATATTTCCCCCATTTTCCGCCCTGTCTCTCTGATATAAAAGTAACGCACATCCTTGGTAAATAACCTAGATTCTCATGTTTTCTCAAGTCATACTTAAAGCCGGTTATCCACAATGCGCGAACGGCCTCCAATCGTGTAACAAGTGGATACGTTCTGCGCTCCGAGAGTGTAACAGTTCGCGAACATACTAGAGCGCTCCTATGGCTGTCAGTTTTTACTTTCAAATTCAAAGGGGAGCGGAAAAAGTTCATGGACGGGTTACAGTCAGTTGCATAACTTGTCGGTAACGTGAATTCAATGGACGGATGAAAAATATCTTCTGCTTATCAAACTATATCAAAATATTCTATATTCTTGAATCCTAGAGATTCAAATTATATAAATACAAATTTCGAAAAAATCAAACATGCATGAAAGGACATTTGAAGTGCTATACAAGTTGTATATTGTGCCATGGAGGGGACCTTTTGCCCCACTCTCTATATTCACCAAACCTAGCTCCAAGTGACTACCACTTGTTCCGGTCTCTGCAGAACTCCATGAATGGAAAGAAATTTCAAAAGGAAGAGGAAATAAAAAACTACTTGGATCATTTATATAAATAAAATCAGACATTCTATGAACATGACATTATGCAGCTAGTGGAAAGATGGAGAACAAGTCATATTAATCAATGGTCAATATATTGTAAATTAAAATGAATTTTATGTCTGAAATACATTGAGTTTTATTTCACCCTGAAAAACCGAAAGGACATATTTGCCAATCAAAACTTCTGAAACCTACTTTTTCATTTATTTTTGTTTATAAAGTAATTTAGTTTATCTGATTGGCTATTTTTAGTTTCTTATGTGCTTATATAAATGTATTCTCAATCAAAAATGTAATATTATTCCATTCTCCTTTGAATTTAAACTCAACACTTCCTTACGAAAATACTTTCGACTGCCATAATGCTTAGCAGAAGATTTGAAACCATGTAATCACGTCATGATCAAATTCTCAAAATGAAAACGAAATAATATGCTGATTTCAATTAAAATGAACCAACGTTTTCAAATTTCCAGATTTGTATTTATCCTTTTTTGAAATAATAAGAAGCTATATTGGATGAAATAATTTTTGTATGCCGTGAAAAAACTAATCTGTACGGATCAGCTTTAAAAATATATCAGAATAATAAGAATTTATTTTTAAACATTAAAAGGGTTTAATTACAATTTTAAAGTTTAAGTGAATCAATATAAAACTGTTTTTTTATTAAGAATATTGCAGCAAGTTCATCATTTCTTTAACTAAATTATATGTGATTTTCCACTTGTAGCTTATACTTCTTTGGTGATAATTTTTTTTAAATTTATATGATGTGATTATCGATGTCACCGGTATGAAATTTGAAAATGGTAACCTGTCATTTAATAATTTTAATTGTTTTGTATGCTGATTAGGCTATCAAGGACTAAAATGATATCTCATTACAAAATATTTAAACTTATTATATGCAGTATATGGAACCCATCAACTTTAGCTGTTCCTGTGAAATTCACTTATTTGTACCATAATTATTAGCAACATTTTTTCCTTTTAGTGAATTGATATTTATTTATAATAATGGCTACACGTTGGAGTAGTGAACTGATGGTTGCAGAACATCCTGATTTACAGGTATATTTTAGTGAGTGCATCCTTGAAATTTACTTCTACATACTTTTCTTGTTTCTGATTATTTCCAAATGAATTTCAGGCAAGTGCTATGACAGTTGATGCTACAGGTACTAATGTTCTTTTAGCTGGGTAAGTATTCTTTCTAAATTCTATTAATAGGTTAGTATAGTAATAGTTCTAGGTAGAATGATGATTCTATGTACTGGTTAGTGATGAAAATTCCTCATTTTTTTTTTTTTTTTATTTTTTTTATTTCACTATGATTCGGACAATATGGCTCACTATATTTGATGATTTCTCTCTTGTTTCAATTAACTTGTAAATTTTTTTTTTCTTAAAAAATATTTGTTCTTTGATGCTGAAGGAAAATGAATCATCCAGTTCTTCATTACTGTGCTTTTGACTGTTAAACTAGTAAGCTTATTTTGAGGTCTCTTTTCAGTGAATTTCATGTCATCTTGAATTTTAATTGAGCACAATAGGTTTGAAAAGATTTTTATTACCATAGGGGAATGGAAGATAATTCAGTTAGATTCTGGGTTCCTATGCTTAAGTTCCTATGTTCGAGTCTGGCTGTGGCAGGTTACCACATCAGCTGTGGTTCGACCTTGGGATCAGAAGACCCTCCTGGAATATACCCAGTGACTATAATCTGCATTTAATTAAATAATTAATTGAGGGATAAAACCTGGTGGTTGAGCATAATCTCAGCCAAATCATTTCCATGCACAGCTGATGGCCAAGAAGTAGTTCTTCCTTGCAAAGTACTGAACCGAAAACCCTCCATGAGTTTTATAGTACACGTTTTCTTCCAGTTGCCACGTCTCTAATTATTACAAATAATCTACCAAATGTATTTTTATCTATATATACTACTTTAAGTTATTATAATTATTTCTGGTGGTACTGCTCTCCAAGCGAATGGGCCTCTTCACATAACTAGTCAGGCTGGTCTGTCTGCAGCAACAGCTCTCCATCTTCTAACTCCTTACTGCCATAGGTCTGCCTCAATGTCACTACTTTAAGTGGCATAAGTAAATGTGGTAGTATTTTCCTAGTTTAAAATTTGATTATTAAATATTTATAATTGTCTTTATTTTTGTTCCATTAATTTATTGCATACATTTTAATTTTTATATTACCAGCATAAAGTTACTGGTACTGGTGGGGAGAACTAGTCCAGCAGCCACATGTTCCCTTTTTACCAATCTCTGACGGGTGCCTAGAGGTTGCTGCCGCGTACTTACTAGCGTGGAAATGTCAAGATTCATTTTCCGGGACTGCTAAGAAATGAAAATTAACTGACCCAGGTTGGAATCAAACTCACAACATTCAGAACCGGGCACTCATGCCCCAACTTGCCCAGCCATCCCATCCTCAGCATAAAGTTAGTGTGATTTGAAATTTTTATAATTATATAATGACTAGCTGGCCAGTATGTAGATTTTCCACAACCTATAGGTTTGTGTCCAATTTTAATAAATTAGATATTCAAGACATCATTATTTAGTTGCATTTATAATTGGACATTACAATACATTTTTCAATTTCTTCTTCAAACAACAACCCACTCAACTCCTTTTCCACACTTCGATCAAGCAAAAAAAATTGTTTAATGATATACTCTCTTATTACAGTAATTTTTTTTTTCTCAATATTTTCTTCTAAAAACCACCCTATATTCTGGGCAACTCAAGATTTTTTTCACCTCTTCTGTTCAAATCAAATTTAATGATGCACCTCTTCCCCCTTAGCATATTTAAAGACATCTATTTAGTAACCTATTATAAGGTAAATAAAATCTATACTCTATCATGAAGCAAATCTTTTCTCTTTCTCTTCTTGCCTTGTGAGGAGAATGGGATTCGACAGGAGTATTTTGCTGGTGCCAAAAACATTTTTATATTGTGGTGTCTTCTTCTGATCCCAGACTCATTTTTCTCATCAATGTGAACCTAAAGTCCTTAAGTGCTGTGTAGTTGTCACATTCTCAACAATCTTGAACACCGCAAGTGGGATATTGGAATCATTATCCTGAATCTTGGTTCATCTCCTGTGAGAATTGTGAAACCCAATAGTCTGGGAGAACCTGTTTTGCGTGTAAGTAATATTGTTTGATGGAGAAATATTTTCTCAGGGTTCTCACTTTCCAGATCGTCAACTGTGTTTTTTCTAAATTTAATTGAATTCACGTTCACCAATCAATAAATACATCATCAAAATTATGAAGAGTTTGTATAATACATTTACAAAGAATGGGCCAAGACTCCAGAAGATAATGATAAAGCAGTTTTTTTTTCTTCTCTCATTTCTGGGATCTGTTGATCACTATAATGCTTACCATTCAATCGGGCGTGAAATAGAAAACTAAGCTAAAGGTAGAAAATTTACTCATTTTGTCAAAAATTGATTTAAGTGGTGTTATATGACCACATACTGTCACACAATTCATTGTTAATTGTTTTGATTAATAATACATGAAACTATCAGTCTTGCAGTATTCAATTTGCCTGGCAGGCTATTTGTGAGGAGACCCATGCCCTTAGAGGGCAGTAGCGCCAGAGGTAATAATATATGAAACTATTAATCTTGTTATATTCAATATTACATTGTTTATCAGAATAGTATGTCCATATTCTATTGATTAACTTTAAACTGCCAACAGTATTTTTTTTTTTTCTGTTGGTTTTACAGACCTGAACCAGCCTTTTTCATCTCTGCCTATCTTGGGCTATTACTTTCCAGTTTTATGCATGCAGTTCTGAATTTTTGTTGATTCAATCTATCCATCTGGTTTTTGGCCTTCCACAGGGTCTCTTGTTTACTATTGAAGCATTCATTGTCATGTAGAGTTTCTGATGGATTGCTTTTAACTACATTTTCTGCCTATCTTAATCTCCTTGCCTTCAGTTCTTTATTGATTCTTCTCCTCCAAGTGTTTGCAATCTAAACCCAATTGTTTTTGTTTTGAGGCAGAAGATTTTTCTCTCAAATATTTCAAAACTTCTTTCAGGGATGCTGGTCAATGTCCAGGTCTCGCAGCTGGATGTCAGAACTAGCTTTATCTTATTATTATAGCTTTATCTGTACACACTTTTGAGATTTCTATTGGTTTTTCAGGATTTGTATTGTACATTTGAAATGGAGAAGAAAGGTTACCATTGGTCCAATAATTGAAAGCTTAATTTTTTACTATTGGTCCTTAAATTTTATTTTGTAGGATCTTAAAAGATTTCTTCCTTGGAACGCTTAGGAGATATTATACCTCATAGTTAACTAATTATACCTTGGTGATAATTAGTCTCAGTTATTATCTTTCTTAAGGATTGGGGCAATAATAGCTACTTCCCGATCTTTTGAAATTTTGTTTGCTTCTGAACTAGATTCAAAGGTGCAGCATTATCTCTTTCTCTGTTTCTCCTCCACTAACTTGCACTTTTTCATCACCTTCTCACCTCCTCAAATTCTAAAAGAGCTATCCAACTTTTTTTTTTTTTTTCTCCTTCCTCACCTCTTTAGGATATTTTGGGGTTTCGCAGGCCAAGATGTGAGGGCGGTGGATTAATGCTTGAGTTAAAAGCTCCCCACTACCAGGATGCAAACTCGTAATTGTTTCATTAAATTATCTTCCATCAGGTTGCTGGGCAATGAGGTGCTGTGCCCACGCGTTGGTCTGCTTGATCACCCAACCCAAGAGCTGTCCAACTGTATAACGTCCGTTAGTGTTGATAATTAAAGATTCGGAGGGGTAAGATATCAGTCTGTTTAGTCCTAGGACAGTCAGAGGGCTGCCCCTCAGTGTAACTAAATATAACCTCTCCTGATATAGGAAATCCTTGGAAGGTTGTCCTAGGATTTGTACAGTTCTAGTGGGTGTGCATGGTGTACTGAACTATAGTAACCTGTGGAGATGCTACTCCCCAAGTATCTGCATGCAGCAGTTTACCTTGCAGAAACCATATCCATATGGATACTTTAAAATCCAGATTGTCCCATCTCGATCCAACAGCTTACCACTGTTAGAATTTTGAAACAAAGTGAAATGATGATTTTTAAATTAACTTTATTTGTTTTTAATACAAAAGTTAAAACAGAGCATGATTCGTGATTGCTCCACATGGTATTTGAGCATGGTACGATCGTTTATTTGGTACACAATCGAATCAGCCTTATGCCGATGAAGAATAAGTTAGGTATTAACTTTATATTTTCTATTTATAAAAAATCTGTCTAACTGTGTAATATATGACATTGAACTTAATGTTTATACTGTCACATTTTTTTTTTAATTGTTCCAACTACTCTACAACACCCCTAATAAGTACGCACACATTCACTTTTTACTGTTAACTTGACACAATTATAGGTAATTTTAGTTTTATCTAATGCCATGTAATATCTTTTTGAAATTTTACTACATCCTCCTGGTTATTTTGGTTTTTATTTTTTTGCTGTCAAATTTTTTTACACTTGCTATATACAATAGCCATAAACATAGACCATAGATCAATCAGTCTTATGATTTATGAAATAAGGAGTGTGACATATTTTTTAAGCTCAAAATGTGGTTGAATAAGACCATTGAAAACCATGCTGATTCCATTACAAATTGTTTATGTATTCATACAAATAAACTGTAAATTTGTGTATTCATTCATAAAACTGAACCACTATAATTATCAAAACTTATTTCATTTCATTTTGCATTATTCAAAATCTATGGTGTCGGTACCACAAAATTCACCTGTACACACAATAAACAATATTGCTATAAGAAACAATTAGTGACTAAACTGCCCTCAGGGTGCCTGTCCAGTTAAGAGCCAGGCAAGTACATGAAATGTACCTCATGCCCTGTAAATTGAAGCGTAGTTGTTTTTTTTAAAGTGTGTTTACTGTTACATACACAGACAGGCAAAAAATTCCACCCGCTTGATTTTTTTCATGTTTTCATCTAAAAATATTTCTGCTTTGGATTGGTCTATTGTTTTTAATGAATAAATAGATAATCTTTTTGTTTGTTTTCAATTAGGAATGTTAATATAGAGGACAATAACCCTTAATCATTAATTCAATGAAATGATTCTAGATTCCAATGTTTACTTTCTATGGAATCAAAATGTTTATTCAGTATCATTAGTTCAGTGCCGTTTCTTGCAGCACATTTCTTAATCTCTGGCTTTTAATTTTTTCAATATTAAGTTTAAAAATGCCTTTTAGTGCTGAAGATGTTGCGCGTGGTGTGACACTTATTGATGATGGACGTTCCAATAGATATGCAGCTAATGCCATCAGAGTTCCATATGAAAATTTACAAGATGCCGTCAAAGAACCAGGGAAACTGGTTCTTACAATAGAAGGCCCAGTTCTGGACGGCCTATGGTAACAGAACCACGGGATGACCGGTTTTTGGCTTTGAGAATTTTACAAAACTGGCACCTTACCATTGTTCAAGCGATTCATCATCTCGAAGAAGTTCGAGGTGTGCAAATTTCTGAATGTACCGCTCGGAGAAGATTAAATGAGTATGGATTAATGGCTTTTCGTCCAGTAAGAGGACCAGAGTTGACCAGAACTGAGTGTAACACGGCTGGCTTTTGCTCGAGAACACAGCCATTGGACTATGGACAAATGGAGTGCTGTACTTTTTACAGATGAGTCAAGATTCGCTCTTCGATCTGAAGACGGACGTGAAAGGGTGTGGAGAAGAAGAAATGAAAGATATGCAGCCTGTAATTTTTCCCAGAGCCAACCTTTCCAACATGGTTCCTTAATGGTGTGGGCTGGGATTTCAATGGAGCGCCACACAGAATTGGTTGTTGTTCGTGGAGGGTCTACGGTCATTCGCTATGTAGATGAGATTTTGGAACCTCATATGTTGCCTATCCTCAACGAAATCGGTGATCATTCTATTCTAATGCACGATAATGCACGCCCACATGTCGCCTGCATAGTGCAGACGTTCCTTCAACAGAACAATATTGAGGTTTTAGCCTGGCCAGCACTTTCTCCAGATTTTAACCCCATTGAGCATTTATGGGATAACCTCGGAAGGCGAATAAGAGCACGTGCAACACTTTCTGATACACTGCAGGACCTTGAAAGGGCTCTTCGGGAGGAATGGGCTATCCTCCAGCAAAGGGACATTTCCCAACTGGTGGAAAGTATGCCGAGGCGTCTTCAAGAAGTAGTGAAGGCAAGAGGAGGAAACACACGCTACTAAACGATGATGTAATTAATTTCTTTTAGAATAATGATGGTTCATTTGGAATCTTGGAAACATTGGAATCTAGAATCATTTCATTGAATTAAGGATTAAGGGTTATTGTACTCTATATTAACATTGCTAATTGAAAACAAACAAAAAGATTACCTATTGATTCATTAAAAACAATAGACCAATCCAAAGCAGAAATATTTTTAGATGAAAACATGAAAAAATCAAGTGGGTGGAATTTTTTGCCTGTCAGTGTATGTCTGGTACTCATCCTTAAATGGTTGAAGCACAATAATTTTTAATGATAAATAATTTTAAATAGGATACAAATATTGTAAAAATATTATGCATGGCAAATATTTCTTATAAAAAAAATTACATGAATACTTTTTTCAGGAGGAGGTATTTTGGTCTAAAAAATTTAACAGAACCTTTAGATTCTTTGAAAAAGTTTCCCCGTCAAAGTAAATATGACGTTGGTGCAGCTGAATGGAACCCTCACCAACATTATAAAAATCTTAGTGCAATATCAGTAAGATATTTATGATTTTATATTACTTTATGATGAGCATTAATGATGTGTGATTGGATAGGGAGTTGGAGTAGGCTGAATGAATAAAATTTGGTAGTGTCGTTACTATTTAAAATTAGTTTTTGAATTTTATTTATTTATTGAAGTTTTGATTGTTTAAAAAAAAAAGCATCCATTAGTTCAGTAATAATTAATGCGTTTTTCATTTTATCTTTGTCTCAATTTCTTAGGATAGTATCAAAAACTATAGATTTTCTGTTGATGTATTGATTACACTGATCAACAAAGAAAATGTTTTTTGCTCAAAAAAATCTATTACTTATATATTCTTACGTACTGAATACTAAAATCACCATGAACAAATTAATTATCTCTTGTTTCTGAGATACAGTTATATAGGGACTTGTTAAGTCATGTTTTTTTGTTAGCAGAAATTTACTTTGAAACCATTTCAATATTTATTAGAATTTTATTCCTTGCCATTCACTAACAGATTTATAATTCAGGATTTTCTCCTAATTCAATGGCATTACAACTGTTGGAAAGCTGAATTATTCCTTAAAACTTTCCGATTTAATCCCTTTATTAAGAATAAATAAAGAAAAACTCCTCAAATGTTTCTATTTTATATCTTCTGTTTTTTTTTGTTTTTTTGTTATTTTTGTATATTTACAGAGGTCTGGTTTGTGTTATTTTGTATTGTTTATGTGGTAGTAAGTCCCTACTGGTTATTGAGTGGATAGTTAAAGTCATGTTGAAGTTATCACAATTTTTATGATATTTGAAATAAAGACATATTTAATAAAAAACTTTATTTTTTGGTTGTTAAGAAAATTTGTATTTAAGGATTTTCCTAGGTGCAAAATACAAATCTGAATCTTGTTTCATCTTTAAACAATATTTAAACCCACTTTGTTCCTTTGGTCCGTACAAATAATTTCAATATTGTACACATACTATAGTAGTGTTGAAAATGTAATTTTTTCTCCTAAATCAGGCGGATATCTAGAATAGGATTTCTTAAACAAAACCTGGTATGTTATCCAATTTTTTTCCAAAAAAAATGAAGCATCTATTATATATGTATGGATATAATATACTCTTCCGTATCCCATTAAATTTTTTTTTTATGGAAAAACAAAGTTGATATTCAGTTTTTGCTGCTCAAAATATCCATGAATAAAATTTTTCATTGCAATCGAAAAATAAAAATATTTCGCAGTGTTTAACATGTATATAATCTATAAACATTGATGAATCTCATGAAAACTATTAATTAAAGGCAAAATATTAATCACAATTTTTTATTTTTCTAATTCTTTGAAAATTCTTATAGTATTCTTTGTGGTAATTTCAACCTGACTTCATCTATGCCCTCTAAAATCAGCTGAAATTTAGGGTTAGCGGCCTGCAAACCATACCAAATGGCATCTTGTATGCTGGTCATTGTGGAGTCATGCCTCTATAGTTGAAATACTCCATTTATTCTTGTTTTCTGTATATTGGACAAACCCCGCTTCACTGCAATTATTTATTTTCTACAGTCTTCCTTGTCAACAGGATTAATTAAAAAAATTTTGACCATTCATCTTTACAACTATCCTTGATAAGTTTGTTGTGGATGTATTTGACTCCTGAGACATGATTTTTCTAGGATTTTACAATTTTGAAAAGGTCTTCGTATGCTGGTAGTTCAAGTGGCTCAGTGTTTGGTATATCTCTCAGGTCTATACATCTCTGTTTGCTAATGCTGTTCTGATTCAGTAGATCCCAGGAGTAGTTGGTCCATCTTTTGGTTATATTTTGAGGATCAGTTATTAGGTTCCCATCAGTGCTGTTGCAGAAGATGATTGAGGGTTGGAACCATCTTTCATATGCATTAATTTACTGAGAAACTTTCTTGATTTGTCATAATCAAAAGCTTTTTGTATTTCTTCCATCATAGATTCTTTATGATCATGCACCTTTCCTGATGAGATTCAGTTCCTTTAGTCTCAATTCATTCCTTTCATGCAGATGTGCTTTACAATCAGCATCAAACCAGTCTTTGTTTGATTTCCTCCCTTGCACACCTAGGACTTATTCTGCCAACATCTTCAGTATGGTTTTCAGGTACTGAGTATTGATATCTGGTTGATCTGAATTTCCTTGGCTATCTCTACTTCAGATAGATATGAGATTCACATTAGTTGCTTTTTGGAACCTTGTGCAAATGCTTTTCATTTTTAGCTTGTTTACTTTGTATTTTTATTTGTAGTTTTTTGTAGTTTATTTGTTACAGCTGTTGATCAAGAAGTAATCAAGCTCAATAAGCTCGAAGCACCCTTTCATCAAATGTCCTGGAGAACAACACTTCCACATTGTAATGGAGTACTTTTCTTTCTAGGTTCCTGCTACCACCCGCCTTAAACAAATTTTTAACATTCCATGCTGCGCATCGTTTTCCACACCTTTATCTTTGTCTTTAATCAGTTAGGAGTTTTATTTAGATAAATACAATATAATATAATATTTATATATTACAGTATTTTAATACTTTTTACTGTAAAGTACTTTGTGATTGTTATGTTAATATTCCCTCAACCTGAAGGACAACCAGCTGAAGTGATATCAAACATTCGATCACACATTACGGGTATTAAAGTAAATGAACTAGCATTGGTTATTTATAAGAGTTTATAGAAAAAGTTAATGGAACCTACAAGGTTTTAATAGTAAGCCATCAGTATTTATAACTAAAACGAATGATTAAGAAAGTTGTTGAGGAATTAGCTAATTACATGAACCAAAAAATTTATTTTTTTTAAATTATGCCATTTTTTTCTCATAATTTCTTTTTTTATCTATAACTACTAAATTATTTAAAATTAATTTATTTCATTTGATCACTTTATAATAATTGCAGACAAAAGACAAAGTTGAAATTTTTGACTGGAGGCAGAGTAGTCCACAATTAATTCACAATTTGTGCTCGCACACCAGAGTAGTAAGTGATCTGAATTGGCATCAGTTTGATGCTAATCAAATAGCATCCTGTTCAATAGATACCTTCACATATATATGGGACCTTCGTGATCCTCGACGACCTAGCATATCTCTATCTACTGTTGGTAAATAATCCATTTTTTAACGAATTTTTTAATGAAGTTTTTTTATTAGTTAATTAATAATAAGTTAACAAATTTATTAGTACAATAATTAGTTGTTATTTTTAACTGTTTGTCTTATGCCTTCACCAAATTGGTTAGTTTATCAAAAAAGTTGAAGAAACTTTGTATTAGATTATTGAACATTGATATTTACTTCTGGACTATTTGTAATTTATTCTTAAGAATTTTATTTTATTTCTTCATTTTTATTTATTTTGAAATACTTATATGAACTTATAGCTGGAGCGACTCAGGTGAGATGGAACAAGCTTTCTCGTTATCTACTTGCTACTGCTCATAGTGGTGATGTGAAATTGTGGGACCAAAGGAAAGGCGTTTTACCTGTCCAATACATAACAGCTCATTTAGCCAATGTAAGATTTTTTTTTTTTATCCGAATCAATTTGATAACTATTTAATTTTTATTTATTCATCCTGCTTTATTTTTATTCTGTAAAAATTAAATATCAGAATTTTTTCTATAAATGTATTCTATAACCTTTTGGGGGTATATTTAAACTCAAGAAATCCTCTCCCCCCTTGCAATGTTTTAGCTATTTAAGCTTGCCCATTTAGGTTAAAATATATATTTTCTTAACAATTGTTTATTCAGATCCATTGTTTGGATTGGGACCCAAATCAGGAAAGTCGATTAGCAACTTCTAGTCAAGACTGCACTGTAAAATTTTTTGATACTAGTAACCCTAAGAAACCAGAAAATCTACTCACTGCTGTAGCACCAGTATGGAGAGCTCGATACACAGTAAGTTTTGAGTTTTCTATTAATGTCTTTCCATTATCTTTAATTAATGTAATAACTGTTAATGTTATTTCAGCCTTTTGGAAATGGTATGCTAATGGTAGTAGTGCCACCAATGAGAAGAGGTGATAATAGTTTACTCTTATGGAATTTAGCTAATAAAGGACCAAAAAGTACTCCTATTCATACATTTGTTGGTCACACCGATGTTGTTCTTGAATTTGAGTGGAGAAAGCGACCTGGTATGTATCAATTTAGAAATATAATTTTTTTTTTCATATACTAGGTAAGATTTTATATATTTATACATAAAGATGATAGCAGACCTTGAGACCTACAACAAAGTTCATATAAACAATGTAGAAAGTAGAAAAGAAGGAAATTCAAGTTTTGAGTTTTTTTAAAGTGTCTATATTTTTTGTTGAAGAAGAAGCAATTACTAAAGAAATATTTAATTAAAGTAATTACTAACTAGTAGGCTCATGCGAAAAATTCGCACAGCATATAGTTATCAAATGCTAAATTAATAAGAAAATAAAATAATGCAACATATCAAAAGATTAAGAAATCCAATGTTACTTTATCGATAACTATAATCGACAAAGAAAAAAAAAATAATTTAAATCTTCATTTTCGCTTGGAACGAACATGTTTACAAATTTCAGTAAGCTGTATCTTTGCTAAAAGTTGTCCGATTTCGATGATTTTTTTTTTTTCATTTTCTAAGGAATTTAGTAATCTTTTATATAATCATGGGCATAACCCAGGGAAAAGTGTGTAATTTTTCAGTTATTCGCAAATAAAGTTTGTTTTCTTTCATAACTTGTTTCCCTGAATTTTTGGGGTGATTGGACTCTATTTTGCCCGCCTGAAGGATAAGGAAGCCTTCAAAATTGGTGGCTCAATCTTGAGATTTGGTGAAAAATTAACAATGATATGGCTTGCCGATCAAAAACACCATCGATAAATAATATAAACTCCTCCTCTCTCGATCATAGAGACCTCAAGTCGACGAAATGAGACATATATTCAATGACAGTACTACAATTAATGTAAGGTGGTGTGGATGCGAATCCTATGCCTTGCGTTATCTCGATAGTAGTACGTTTTTGGGCTTAAAAACGCAGGATCCGATAGTTCCGAAGGAACTATCCAGGTCTTGCTGTACGCATCAAAATCTTCAAGATCCAATTTGTCCCGTATTGATCTACAGACCTACCACCGTTCCAGTATTGAAGCCCAGCAAAATGTTTGTATAGACTTTATTCATTTTAGAAAGAAAAACAAAAGTTGAGATTACGATTCGCTAACCCTCCGTGAAATTCTGAATCCAACAGTACCCCATTCATGGTATTTGAGCATGAAATAAGTTACATTTGGTACAAAACCGATTTCAAGCCATACTGTAATAATATATGTGGGATTGATTCACTGTAAACTAGACAAAATTTACTTAAAATAAAAATAGTTTGTTATTTTAAAATCATTCAAAGAGAACTTTTGAGCTGCTAAACTTAGCTAAGTTCTGTTTTTAAAAAATCATAAATTATTCATGATTTTTTTATCATCATCCAAGTATACTAAAGAAACTCCATTGTTCAAAAAATTTCCTTGTTTAATAAGCTTTAAGTTCATATTAATTAAGTTGAGGTTTATTAGGCAAAACCTTGAAATTCATCTCAAGTTGTGTAGAACAATGATGTGATTTTTTATCCTGTCACCTAATTTACAAGTGTTTTCAATGTTGAATAGCTTTTATTTCTTGCTTTTACATTATCTGGGATGTATTATAATAAACATGATTGCCTAAACAAATTTTTTGGTTTATTATTTTCAATAATCAACAATTAAGTTTATCACTTATAAATAAGAATCAATTCCTATGACAGATATCTTAGAGAAAAACACAGTTTCATAACCACTTTACGTGAAAAATCATTATTTTCAATTTTTTTTTTTTTTATTAGTAAAAATTGAATTTAGGCAATTATGTTTATTACAATACATCTCTGATCGTGGAAAAACAAGAAATAAAAGCTTTGTAGCAGTTATATTTTAGAATAGAATAGAATAGAAAAATAATTTTATTCTGGGACGAAGTCCCTTCAGAATAACAAAAAAGTACAGAAATTAAAATTTTGCATCTGGCCAGATAAAAACAAACCTAACAAATTAAGATAAAGATAGGTCATTAAAAAAAAAGAAAAGGAAAAAATATTGGTTATACATACTATATACAAAATAAAATAAAAAAATCTATATAAAAAACTCTTGAAACCATACTAAGATACTTAAAACTATGTACAATGTTAAAATATAAATAAACCCTTTTAGAAAAAATAAAAAATACAGAAAAAATAAATGTATATTCTTCTTAACAGTAAAATCTGTTTCTGTTAATTTTAAAATATTAATTTTTTTTTTCTCAGCTCCTAGGGCCTATTGGAAAGAACACCGGGACTGTGTTTAATATTTTTCGATGTATCACCGAAAAAAATTTGGTTTAAATCGGTGATCGGTGGAACATTAAAGTCAGATTGTTTTGTCTGTGACAAAGTAAGTTGGTAGTGCTGAGGATTTTGTAGGTGGTTTTTGGAGTCCCAAAGCTCAATTTCATAAGTCCAAATAGGCCTTATTATAGTAAAATAAATGAGTCTTTTGTAGTTTAATGAAAGTTTAGAGCATTTGTCTAGTTGTGTTGAAGTAGCTGAAAAATCCTGTTCAACAGGAATAAGTGGAGTATTATTGAAGGATACTGTAGTACAAGGGTAAAGGTGATTTGATGGGATTTGTTGGAATTTATTATAATCCTCCAATTTTGACACCATTCTTGTTTGTGATACATGACTGTAAAGTTCGGGAAGCAATAAATGGATCATTAATAACTGATAACATACATGTGCCATCAGCATATGTGATGATATTACGATGAATTGAAATGTCAGCTGTATAAACTGTATTGATGATGGGACTGACGATACTGCCGTTTTTAAAAAGTTTCAAGTAACTTATATAAATCTGCACTTGTCCTAATGAAGGCAATTTGTATGGTTTTCTTTTCTGATAATAACTTCTGATCAACTTTTCCTAGAAATAAATTTGATATTTAAAAGTAATACTAAGAAATAAAATCCAACATGCTCTTTTTCAGATTCACTTGATTATCAATTAATAACCTGGTCAAAAGATCAGACTTTAAGGATTTGGCAGATTGAACCATTTCTTCAAAAAGTTAGTATATTTGTTATATTCTAAAGCCCTTATTTTTAAACAAGGAGTTTGTTTATCTATTTACATATTTTTATTTGTGGTTTTCCAGATATTAGAGTAGACATTCATATGTCATGTTTCAACAACATATTGTTTAAAATATTTTTTATTTAGTTTTTTTTACATTATTTGACTTGCACTTCATACTAATCTTTAAAGAATTTTTAATATGATTAGATTATTTTTCGCTTAACTGATTTCGTTCATGGATTTTTGTTTTTGTAGTTTTATAATGTTTTGTTGAAAATTATGGAAATTTACCACTACTATAATATTATCATATTAAAATTTATTTTTATTTAATAATTTTGCTATTGCTCATTTTATTTTGTGGTTATTTAACTTTTTTTTTATTTCAGCTTTGTGGGATAGAAAGTGATGGAGAACCTTCTCTTGAACAACACCCAGCAGCTGATTTATTAACATCTCCTGCTATCGGTATGAGTAGTTTTGCTTTTTAACAGAAATAGTATAATAAAAGTGCTGTAATTTTTCTATTTTGAAAAGTTTTCTGAATAGTCTTTTTATTAATAGTTTAAGTTTTTAATGGTCCATATTGTAATATTTGTCTTTGAACTTTAGTTGAGTGGTATTGATAATGTTATATTATTTGCAATGAATTTTCAAATATATAAATCATTATTAAAATCTCATAATTATTACTTTCACTTATCTATATACGTAATGTATAGTAAGGGAAAGTATTGCAATAGTGAAAATTTTTGAATATGTGTTTTCAACAGAAATATACGTTTTGAAATCCCCTGAGTCCAAATAACCAAGTCCCGCAAAATGGTCTGTGTGTCTGTAAACAGTAACTCAAAAATTAAAAGCCGTACGAAACTGATATTACGTATTGCTGTTTCTACGAATTCCCTACAATACACCAATATTTCCCTGAACTCCTCAAAATTCCAACTCACGATTGCCTCAGTATATATAGCTTCCAATAAAGTTATATCCACGAATGAATTAAAGACTATTTTCTCGACAATGGGAAAATCATTCATTGTAGGAGATTTTAATGCTAAAAACACAAGGCTCTACAGTGTCCAATACTCGTGGAAAAATACTACAAAAATGTATCGAAGATTAGAAATTTTCTGATCTTAAAAAGTGGTTTGAAAAATGTAAAATCAAAATAAATAGTAATAAATCCAACCACATTAGTTTCTCTCTTAGGAAAGCCTCATGTCCATCCATAATGATTGCCAATAACCCAGTGTCTTCAAAGAACTATGTACGGTACCTTGGACTCTACTTAGACAAAAGACTTACTTGGAACATACATACGAAATTAAAAAGACAAGAACTTACAAGACGATATAGTCAACTTTCACATCTTATGGACTACAGATCTTCACTTAACTTACGAAACAAGCGACTGATCTACAACACCTTACTGAGACCAATATGGACATATGGAGGAGAACTTTGGGATTCAGCAAAACAAACACACACAAACAAAATAAAAACAGCACAATCAAAAATTTTACAAAAAATTGTTAACGTTTGTTGGTACATTTCAAATAATACTATACATAATGACTTAAACACCCCAACAGTAAAATCCTACATCCACGACAAATACACTACATTTCATTCTTCAACCCAAAATCACTCCAATCTTCTGGTTCTTTCTATTTCCTGCTCCCTGTTACCTGAACAACACAGATTAAGAAAATGGCCAAGAGATCTACTATATCGATAGAAAAAAAAATCAAGCAAATACACCAAGACAGTATAAATACAACAGATTTGCTAGATGCGCACCCTATGCTAGATGCCTCATGGCAATCATTATGGATGGACATGAGGCTTTCCTAAGAGAGAAACTAATGTGGTTGGATTTATTACTATTTATTTTGATTTTACATTTTTCAAACTACTTTTTAAGATCAGAAAATTTCAAATCTTCGATACATTTTTGTAGTATTTTTCCACGAGTATTGGACACTGTAGAGCCCCACCTTGTGTTTTTAGCATTAAAATCTCCTACATTGAATGATTTTCCCATTGTCGAGAAAATAGTCTTTAATTCATTCGTGGATATAACTTTATTGGGAGCTATATATACCGAGGCAATCGTGAGTTGGAATTTTGAGGAGTTCAGGGAAATATTGGTGTATTGTAGGGAATTCGTAGAAACAGCAGGAAGAATATGGTGATTTAAGGATTTGTCCACAATAATTGCAGTTTCTCCATGTGCTGCGTGGTCTGGATGGTCAATTCTATAAGTTTCGTAATCTTGTAGCTTGAATGTTTGTTTGTCTGTTAAACGAGTTTCAGTAATCAGGGCTATGTTTATGTCATGTTCTTTTAAACAAATTTTCAGTTCATTTTTTCGTTGGAGCAGACCATTGGAGTTCCATAGGAGTATTCTAAGAGAAGGTGATTTTGAATTAGTCATTGGAAGGATTTGAAATCAAATTGGAAACTAGTTTAGTTAGAAGTTCTAGAATAGGGGATAAAAGGGATTTAAGTTCAGTTAGAAGAGTTTCCACAGAAGATTTTATAGCTGAAGAAAAATCAAAAGCTGAAGAAGGAGGTTTTATAGAAGCTGTAAAAGGATATCTCCCTGTTACCTTAGCACAGTAGACCTCTGCCAGGGTAGATGGTTTATCACAACTCTGCCATGTTAGACCTTTCTCTTCTAAATTATGAACTGATTTAACGTGTTCTTCATTTTTTTGTAGTAATATTAATTTGGCTGTTGAAGGATCCATTATATTTGAAGTCTGTGAAGAGAGGGGATCTATCTCTAAACCTGATCCAGAGGTTATATGGTTGACAAATGGTTTGTTTTTTAGATATATTAGTTTTTTAGATGTAGTGCATCCTTTGTAATTGACAGGGTGAATACCTTCGCAGTTAGCACAGGTGGCGGGCGTTTCTCTAGGTTTTGTACAGTTTGCTGTGAGGTGTGGTCCAGCGCACTTAACACATTTGGCGGGAAGACTACAGTACCCTTTTGTGTGGCCATAGGTGGTTTGACATCTTTGACACTGTGGCGGTTCCTTTCTTAAGTATGGTTCTTCTACTTTTATTCTAGTATATAATAAACATTCTAGATTAAAAATTTCTTGATTTGTTGGACTTTGTTCCAAATCTATAAAAAATATCGGTAGTGGCATTTTTTTTAGGGTGTTTTGCGTTACTAATATTTTTTACACTGTATCCTAGTTCTTCGAGTTCGAATTTGATATCTTCAATTTATGTAGTGTGGTGAAGATTTCGAATGACAATACGAAATGGTTTTTCATTCTGAAATTGATGAGTGTAGAATGTTGCATTTTGTGTTTTAATAGTTTTATTATTTTTCAATAATCAGCTGGAATAGACGGAAATATTTTTGTCTCATTTGTGTTTGAAATACAATAAAATCCGTGAGGTCCGACTTCTGTTGATAAATTTTGACATAATTCTTTGAAAAGTTTTTAACTGATTTTAAATTAATAGATGGGGGGTTTAGGAATATTGGAAGTTGACAATTTGCCCTGAGTGTTAGACGACATAGGAACGGGTTGAGGTGCGATAGTCCCCAAATTTCTTTGGTGAATGCTGTTACTTTTACTCAATTATTGTTATTTTTCAAAAATGAAAATATCATTAGTATTAGTAACTAGTAATTTTTTTAATTTAATTTAATTTTTTAATGTTATTTTAGTCAATCCAGTGGAAAATACGGTTATTGGTGACTCCCGAAGTAGTAGTATAGATGTTGCAGAACCTAACATAAATGAATTTGATTCATCTCTTGTTACAATAACTCAACCAAAGACATTACATCAAGAGTTTTCTTTGGTCAATGTGAATATACACAATGTTACTTTTGATTTGGTAAGTCTATGTAGTTTATAGATATCAATTAAATTATAGCCATATTAAGTTTACTATAATAAATATATTAATTAAATAATAAGTAGTGGTTGAATATTGTAGTTTGTTAGATATAAATAGTATTACTATGTTTTTATGTTAAGTAATAACTTTCAGAATAAAAATATAGTTTGAAATTTTTTCTGAGACAAATTGGTTTCTCTTTATTTACACGTTATCTACTATTGTTAAATTTGTCAAACACTGGATTATTGTTTTTTTTCTGTTTACTAAATATGGTATACTATTATGAAATTACTTCATGTTTTCTTTAGCAATGTAAAATAGTATAAAGTCACCTTACAAAAAGTCGATATGTATGGGAAAGGTCAAATGCTCTTATATCAGCAAGAGAGCCATTAGTTCTCATTGGTCAGTAAGGTGTAAGGTTATGGTACTTGTAGAACCATGGAGGAGAACGAATAAAACTATTCATGTGGGAAATAATGTGAACTGACTTCACTCTGAAAGTTTTATTTTAGATTGATATTAAATTTTTTACTTAATGAGATTTTTTTAAATTTATTTTTATAAGAAACAATGTTTGTGTTGCAAATATTTTGTCTGCTTGAAAAATAATGAGGATGCAATTTATTCATTACGATTAGTTTATTGGTTGTCAGGATATCTTAGTTAAGTAATAAAGTGCACATGGGACTTGAGTATGAGTTTTGATTAGAAAAGTTGCTAGGGTTTATCATTAATTAAATTAATTAATGCAAAATATAATTTAATTGTATGATCTTTCATTGGAAGTATATTTATAATTTCTTTTATAGATGGATCCTATTAAAAGAAGATGCAGTGTAACAGCTAGAGTTGAAGGTAACATTGTCATCCTTCAGGTTGCCTTTCCATTAGGTTATCCAAATAACATTTCACCAATTTTTCAGTTTACTTCAGAAACCAATGTTGATTCAGAAACAAAAACTAAATTAATAAAGGTATTAAATTTATTTGTTACATATGATTCTCAATGTTATCAGTCCTCTTATTTAATTTAAACATGTTTATTTTATAAAATTTCTCTTTACCCTTGCAACTCTGTACCATCTCTTTTTAGAAAACAGACTTTATTCTGTGACTAGGTCCCTTTAAAATAACAAACATTGACATGCTGTCCAGTGACCGTCTTAGACAGTCGGTGCCGTGGGCGAAGGTGTCATCTTTGTCTTCTAAAAATATTAAATTTATTTCTTAAGCTATTTTATATTAGGTAGGGTGAACTCACCAGTTATGGACCGGGGGTCCAGTGATGGACCGGGGGTCTAGTGATGGACAAGTTGGACTTTAAATGTAAAAAATAAGCTTCCTTGTTGATCTAAAAGTTTCAATTTTTTCTTTATTGAAGAACAATGCCCTCTACTGACAACTGTATGAAAGTATGAAAGTTTCCAAAAGCAAATTTTAAAATCCCTATCATTGTTGTTTCTATAGTGCTCTTGTGATCAGTGTGTTTCAGACATTCCTACTAACAGTTTTGCAAGATTAAGTTGGACATTTACGTTATCTTACCTTTATAGTTAAATAAATATTTTAGAATTTTTCTGAGGCATGTCTATTACTGGTACCGACCCCCTGTCAATTACTAGAACAATTGAATTATGGAGTGTCCATAGCTAGTGCAAAAAGGTGTTTTTTTTTATGGAGATTATAGCTGCATATCTGAATATTTTTTCAATTTAAAATTGTTAAATAGAAAAAGGAGACCCTGAAGATTCTAAATGTCCAACGGAGTAGTTTATAACTATAATAATTACGGTGGCATAAACCAAAAAAGACAAAAATTTCCTTAGCTATGTCCATCACTGGTGTGCTTACCTATATGAATTTTATTTCATTCAATATTTCCTTAACACAGTTGCTGTATTAAAAGGATAAATTTGATTATTTTAATTCATTTTTTATTTTTAACAAAATGGTGAGTGCCCCCAACAAACACCCCTTTAGGTCAACGCCCAGGGACAGTTGTCCTGGTTGCGCCGCCCTAAGGCTGGCCCTGATGCTGTTAGTCATATTATGATTGATTTCAAGAAGTATTGTTTCTTAGAGGTTACGTTATACTTCTGTTACAAATTTACTACATACCTGTACTGCCTGGGGTGGGTGGGGCTCAGCTCTATATGGTATGTTTTTTTATAAATTCCACCTCATTTATATCTTGATTCATTGAGTATAACTCACTGTTTTTTCCTTATACATATCTCCATATATGTAAAGTGGAATCATATATGGCACCATAGTTATTCTGGGGATAGTTTAGTTCAGATCCAAGATAAAAGGAGCTGCTTATATTCTCAAAACTGTATCTTTTGAAAGTTATGGGGGCATTATCTTGGTTTGGTCTAGAACTCATATATTTTTTTCTTGTTCTGGTTAATCTTTAAATCCATTATAAAGTATACTGAAAGACTTCTTGAGTGCAATCTTATTCCTAACCAAAAAACAGATATCATCCACGGTAGGCAATTATAATCTAGTTACTCTATCTACTTTTATAAACTACACAACTTCAGTCTATGAGCCTTTCAGTTGACAGAATGACTAACTCCAATTTCAACATTTTTGAGTAATGTCATTTTAGTAATATTTCTAGTTAGAAAAATTGTATCTATACACACAGTGAGTGATTCCAGAGTAGGTGATTGCAGTATTGAAATATAGAACTGTGAATAAAAGTATAAATTTTGCTACTTGAAACATCACTAAAATTAATAATAAAGAATGTTGAAATTGGAGTAAGTCATTCTGTCTACCCAAAGGGTCATATATGCCTAAAGAGATTTGAAAGTATATCTGTTATTTAACCTATAAATGATTATGGATTGTAGGATTATTAATTATTAAACTGTTATTTTCCATTGTAAAGTTTACTTAAATTAAATTACGAGATTTTGATTGCATGCCATGGACAGGTCAAACGTTGTCATATTAATTGTAAGTGGATAATGTTTGAATTTCAAAAAGGAAAAATTCATAAAATTATTTACTAATTTAATTTTCTAAAAGGTTACTTGATGATTTTTGGGATAAACGGACGATAGATATCTAATTATTTAAATATCATATCTAGAGTAGTTTAAACTACAGTAAATATATTCAATATTATAAACATATCCATGAAATATTTTTATATTTCACTTGTTCTTTCACACTAGTACAATGAAATAGTATTTTAAACCATGGCATTGGCTTGATTAGGTGGATTTTAAATACTTTTTTCAAACTTAGAAAAAAATTTAAATGTTTACATTTAGTAAGAAAATTTCATTTCATTTCCTTTTAAACATATGATTTACGTTAAATAATGTTAATTTTCTGAAATTAAAATTTATATGTTTTTTGTCACTCTCCGTTACCTTCTACAACTTTATTTATTTGAATATTATTTTTTCTAAAATTCTCCACTTTCCAACGATGTTATATGTATACATACCAGAGATGGGCATATTTATATTCAAAAATATAAATACGAATACCATTTATATTTATGGTACAAATGAATATAAATACGAATATATTCGTATTCATAAAAAGTAATATGAATACAGAAGATACGTATTCACGACTGTAAAAGTGAATACGGCTGTATTTACACCTGTAAAAGTGAATACGGCAGTATTCATGTTTACTAAAATGAATACGCTTAAATTTACAGAAGTGAATGGAAATATTTTCATACAACCTTATTAATGAATACACTTATTTATTAAAAAAAATGTATTTATTTAAAAAATTATATTTGCTATATATATCATTTTATTTTTATATATAGTATTATATTCTACCTTTTACAATATGTTATGTTAATTATGTTACAATGTATTATATTATATTAATTATCCTTTGTAATGTTTGTACATAAAATAAATTCTTGAGCCTTTGTATTTATACTAGTAAAAGTGAATACGGCAGTATTCATGTTTATTAAAATGAATACGCTTAAATTTACAGAAGTGAATGCAAATATTTTCACACAACCTTATTAATGAATATCTTATTTATTAAAAAAAATGTATTTATTAAATTATTTATTTTAAAAAATATATTTACTATATATATCATTTTATTTTATATATAGTATTATATTCATCCTTTTACAATATGTTATTTTAATTATGTTACAAGGTATTATGTTATGTTAATTATCACTTGTAATGTTTGTACGTACTATAAATTCCCGAGCCTTTGTATTTACACTAGTAAAAGTGAATACGGCATTATTAACGTTTATTAAAATGAATACACTTAAATTTACGGAAGTGAATGCAAATAAATTCACACAATCTTATTAATGAATACTCTTATTTATAAAAAAAAATGTATTTATTAAATTATTTATTTAAAAAAAAACTCTATATAAACCATTTTATTTTTATATATAGTATTATATTCTTCGGGAATCGCCTCTCTCCTTCCCCCCAACAAAAATTCTGAGTAGGTGAGAATATTGGAATTTCTTAAAGAGCAGGCACTCTCGTGAAAAAAAATTGAAAAAAAAAATCGCTATCATCCAGATTACAAGAGCCTGCTAAACAAACAGACTCAGTTTCGCTATCAACTTCATACATTGTTTTATATTCAAAACTTAACACATTAACAAATATATTCACACATTACACACTGAACGGCAGGTCCGGAAAGGTCACTATTCAAATTTGACAGCTCTTGCCCCTTTCCTTGCTTCAACTCTGTCGTGTACACGTATTTCCCGATGGGATTTCCAGGGTTTCGTTCCGAATGTTGTACCTACCCTGGCCGTCTATTAAACTTATCTTTATTACCATTAGCAGCCCATAAGTAAACAGTGCACCGAAAAGTCTGTACGTCTAGGATCATAAACATTGGCTTTCGATTCTGGTAAGGGAGAGACCCCACCCTCTGGACCCAATAAAAAAAAAATGCTTGTGAATTTATATTATGTACAAACATTCTGAGTGAAAACTAACATAATATATTGTAAAATGAAGAATATAATACTATAAATAAAAATAAAATGGAATATATAGTAAATATATTTTTTTTATATAAATAATTTAATAAATATATTTTTTTTGATAAATGAGATTTTGTAAAAATATCTGCATTCACTTCTATAAATTTAAGTGTATTCATTTTCATAAACATGAATACTGCCGTATTCACTTTTGCTATAAATACAAAGGCTCGGCAATTTATATTACGTACAAACATTAAGAATGATAATTAACATATTGTGTAAGGCAGAATATAATACTATATATACAAATAAAATGATATATATAGTAAATATATTTTTAAAATAAATACATTTTTTTTTAATAAATAAGAGTATTCATTAATAAAGTTGTGTGGAAATATTTCCATTCACTTCTGTAAATTCAAGGCTATTCATTTTAGTAAACGTGAATACTGCCGTATTCACTTTTACAGGTGTAAATACAGCCGTATTCACTTTTACAGTCGTAAATACGGCCGTATTTATATTTACAGTCGTGAATACATATCTTCTGTATTCATATTACTTTTTATGAATACGAATATATTTGTATTTATATTCATTTGTACCATAAATATAAATGGTATTCGTATTTATATTTTTGAATATAAATATGCCCATCTCTGATACATACCTTTTGACTGTTATTTCTGGAGATTCATTTTTGACCCGTATAAGCATTTTTATATTTTCTCCTTTATTCAATTATCAAATTCTTTCAAAATTTATATTTAGCATTTTTTTGTAAGTTTTAATAATGAGAGATAGTTGATTATTTAAAATAAACCATATTAAAGGTACTTTAGAGGCAGACGCATATGAACATTGGGCATTTAAGCCCTGTAAAGTGACATCAATGGGGATAAGACCTAAATTATATTAAAGACCATTTAATTATACAATGATACACCGAGATTAATAAAAATTGTTTGAGCCGTTTTTGAGAAAATTGTAAAAACGTGTTTCACCATTGATATAAAGTGGCACTTCCGATTAGCCAATTTTAAAGAGAAATTTGCTCTAAGGCATATATCTATCTTAAATATGTAATATCAGTTTCGTATGACTTTTCATTTTTGAGCTAGACCGTTCACATACAGACTCACAGACCATTTTGCGGGACTTGGTTATTTGGATTTAGGGGATATCACGATCGCAATACTTAACCTTGCTATATATCTTATATAAGTGAAAGTAATAATTATAATGTAAATGGAAAATCCACAAATACCTTTAATTAAATTACCTATTTTTTTTTTACTATAAGCTTTTTCATCTCTCCATTCCAGATGGTCATTTTAAAATTAAATTAACTTTAAAATAATGTTAGAAAAAAAATCTTAATTAGACCAATGTTAATGTAGAAACAGAAAATAATTGTTTTATTAGACTTCGCAATCAAAGTAGGCAGAAAAATCATCTGAGTGGACATACCAGATATTGCTTTTTTAATAATGATAATTAGCTGTGGATTTCTAATTGTGTAGGTACTTAAACAAACAGCTCTTCAAAGAGTTAAGAAGAATAGATCGTGCCTAGAACCATGTATCCGACAACTTGTGAAGACATTAGAAGAGGTTTGTATATAAATCTATTTGAAAATTTTATTTTATATATTTATTTTCTATCCTCACAAATAATTTATTTTCTCATATAAGTCAATAAAGTCCTATTGATTTTCTTCAGTTCTAAAAATTATGCAATCATTTGAAAAATAAAACATTGATTAATGCAGTGATTCACAAAACATTTCTTGTCTTATGGGTGGCACACTGAGACTATTAAACAAAATTCTTATCACACTACTATTATTATTATTTATAAATTAAATAATAAATCATAAAAGTTACTGAAATAGAATAAAAAAAAAAACAACTTGGAAATGTGATAAAAACTAATATTATCTTAACTGTATATTTACTTTCAAAAACTAAATAGTTTGTTTCCTTGAATATCTATTTCTAGGAGCCATCCATCTGATTTCAAAAATTCTTTTTACATTTGATAAATTGTTTATCAAGAAAATCTTTACAGTACTTGATTAATTATTTTTATCTATCATATGGAATCCTTTTCACACTTTTATTCTACTTATTATTTATTCCAGATAGTTGTTTTACTTATTATGTATTACTACCACTCATTACATTTATCAGTTCTTAAATTTTCAGTTCCATTGTTTCATAACTATTACCAGATCTCTTACATATTGTTATTATTATTTTTAATATCTTATCAATTATTGTTTGGACAGTACATTGATCCAGATATCTATACTTATTTTCTTGATGATTATTTTATCAGATACTACTGTTTTGGTTTATTATTTTAATAATTAATCATTGTAATTGACTAAAATATTAAAAAAGTTAGCCCTCCTCAAAATTTGAGGTTTTAAGTTTCATGATGCATAGAACTCGAAGAAAGAATAACAAAAAAATGGATTGATTTTAAGAAGATTTGGAATCGAAGTCAGAGGTCACCTGATGAAGATCCTCTTACATTGAGATTACCATCTGCCCTTTCCTTTCAAAATGGCAGCCGAAAAACATTTGTTGATATAGGATGTAGTGCCTTAACGAATGTACCAATTTCAATGAAACCTAGGGCAAAGTTTTTTTCCCAATGCCCTTGTAAATTCATATATATATAACATACTTCACCAAAAAAAAGTTTATTATTTAAGAGTTTGCGAAATTTCCTTTAAAAAAAAAATTGACATATAGTAATCTCCTTTTTTTCGATCACTCGTAAACATTTATGGATTGAACTTTGACTTTGTCACTTCTTCATGAAATTCCCTTTCTGAAATAGGGAAGGGATCTAAACTACTGTATTACATATATAGCAGATAATTCTACTTGATAAATCTCACTACCATTTCAACTTGATCACGGTTAAACTCTCCTAGGGCTCATAACCAATTGTATTCAACTCTTTCCAATTTTATTTAATTCAAATAGAGAAATGGTATAGCATGATAAAAGTAATCTGTTTGTGTATGATTGTTTCAGTTATCGGTGTCAGACGGTTCTGAAAAAAACCAGCATTTTCATAATTCATTGATTCAGCATTCTTCAGTATATTCTAGTTTCCAGGATGTTTACATTCCATTTCCTCGTACATCTGGAGCCAAATTTTGTAATGTTGGTAAGCTTTTAATATAATTAGAACATTATTTCAGGTATCCATTAAAATATCACCAAGTTTAACTAAATTGGCATTTACTTCACATAAATTCAAAATCTCTCTACAATTATTTCATAGTTAAATCCCATTATTTATTTCAAACATGGTTTATCAAGAACAAGTTATCTTCTTGTTAAAAACAAAGATGATTATAGTATCAATTATTCTCTGAAGTTTCATGCCTAAAATCTAAACTATACTTATTTCTATCCTAGATTTACTGATACAATAACATTTTTTTTTTCTGCCATTGCGTATTTGTTTGCAAGTAGTCAACAAATAGATATATGAATTACATATTGCCCTGTAGTTTATTTTTGTTGTTATTTTTCAGGTATGCTTGTTTGCTTTGGACGAACATCTAGTGGCAGGCAGGTTTCAATGCGTAATGACAAAAAAACTCCAAGATCTTTTTCTGCTTTAAATGTTTATTCAGAATCTCCTGTTACAACTTATTATTATGATAGGGTAAATACCTAGCTGATAATGTCCACTATATCTCATTCAATAGACTGATAAATGTGTTTTAAAAAAGCTCGGTGAGAAGATTAAAGGCTTGAGCCGAAAAAGATCGAGCTTTCCCGATTTGGCCAAGGCTCAAGTTCTAAGAACTTGCCAGTAAAAGGCTCGAAACTTACTTGTTTTTAACCATGTTTATTAATGGACTTTTAAAATTGTTTTACAATTTTTGTAATAGAGTAAACTGTTCTACATGATAGTAGTATTACATCTTTGGGGGTTCCTTGAATTATAGTTTTAACTGAAACAAAGTTCTATTTGATCGTTCTTTTCTGTGCATCTCAATTATATAATAGTTAAACGTCGGTTTATTGAATAAAGGCACTAATAACTTTTTTAATAGTGCTAAACTTTTGAGAACCTTTTGTGAATTTTGATCTTATTTATTGATAAAAAAATACAGAAAATAATACAAGCCCTTTTACATGTCATAGTTACAAGCACGTAAATTTCTGATTTTACAAGGGGTAAAAAATTATCAAAATGCTTAATGATTTAAAGTTATTTAATTTCTCTTAATGGCTGAAATAAATCGACAATATTTTTTATTATATGAATAAAACATGCTGTCAGATCTGGATTCTTTTGTTATAAACAATAAGTAGTGTTGTAAAAGAGCTCAGTTAGGAGACTACAAGGCTGGAGTCCTAAAAGCTCGGTGTTTGAGGTTCGCACCTTACCTGTTTTTTAAATCTATTTATTCACATTATATTACTGTTGTAAAAACAACCCTTGAGCTCCGACTCGAACTCTTAAGGCTAATATTTTTCGAGCCTTGATGAATTTATCTTTAAAAAAAAATTTAAATTATAGGTTTGTACATTTTCATAAAAAAAAAAATATATATATATATATATATATATATATATAATCTATTGGTAATAACAATATAAATGTATATCCAAAGTATAATGTTGAATATAATCATTCAATATGAAATAAAATATCGTCAGCTTATTGCAAAAAGTTATTAAAAGACTTTTAATAACCTTAATTCGTGAATTTCGATGATTTTTTCCTTTTGTAAAATCAGAAAATTGCCCGCTTGTAGCTGCGTTCAATATATAAATGTATTTATAATTATGGATTTATGGTTGACTGTCTTGAATAATGAAGAGAAGGATAGTTGGGGTGATCAGTCAGAAATAAAAAGGAAAAAATAAATAATTATATTTATTTTAACATTTGCTGACGTTTTGACCTGCAGTTCAGGCCTTCATCAGGGCTGTTCGAAGAGAATGCTGGCATAGAGCCAATAGACTGACTATATTGACTCGATAATATTGACCATGTAAGGGGCCCTTATGGTTTCAGCGAAAAGGCTCCACAGCTTTCTCGACTTGACTAAGGCTTGAGTCTTAAGAGCTCGGTAGTAATTGGTAGCTCGAGTCGTGGCTCGAACTTTACTTATTTTTCCTATCTATTTATTTACATTATATTTCAAAAGTATATTCACATTGTTAATATCAACAGAAAAATAATATATTCACTTTATATTTCGGAAATATATTCACATTGTTACAACAAACAGAAAAAATATATTTGTTTATAAAGATAAATAAAAGTTTATAAAGATAAATTCATCAAGGTTAGAACCATATTGAGCCTTCAACTCGAGCCCTGGAAGTTTGAGGTTTAAAACTTCTAGAGCCAAGTCTTCATGACTTGGGCTCTTACGCCTCAAATAGGAGCTTGAGGCTTGTTTTTACAACACTAGTGATAAAGCATTTGACTAAATTAAGAAGTGTATGTTTAAGTATCCTTATGAAACCTAAAGATAATGTGGAAAATTATAACAACATATCACACATTCAGAATAAAAGTGGCACATTTCAAAAAATATTGTTATTAGAAAACTACATTTAAAATGTTGAACTTTCTTAAACATCAAAATTTTGCTTCTGTTTAGAAAGTTTTTACAATTTTATTTTAAACCTTCATAAGTCTAATTTTATATATCTTAATTATGAAGTTTTGATAATGACTTATAAAAAAATTAATTTAATAGTAGGTTGGCTCTTCAGGGGAATTTTTCAGTTGTGCCTATTTCATTTCAGTATCTTCCCTCACCATCAGGGCTGGAACAACAGGAACTTGAAGCATTCTTGTGGAAACTGGTAACACTGTAAAAAGGTCTGTAATCTATAATGTGAAAATTGATTCTCAGTAATACTAAAATTATGGTGTCGATAACAGCATTTTTGATTTATGCCCCTTTCATTCTGAATGTGAGATATTTCTGTTATACAGCTTTTAAATGTTTATTTTTATCTAATGAAAACAATATAGTTTGTCTTTATTTGTAAAATATAATATTTTTTATCATACAATTAAGTATTACGGTCTAATTGTTATTAACAGCATACGAACCAGACAAGATCTTCAAGAATAAATCGTGGAGTATCTAAAGGTGCTTCTCAAAAGGGTGGAAAGGCAGTTTTGGTTTATGATGTATCCAGTTTATTCCCTTTTCAAAGAGATTTGGCAGAAAAATATGTGTAAGTGTAACGAGTATAAAATTCTTACTTATATTTAAAAAATCTTTTACACTCATCAAACGATTTTCACTTATTGCACTATTTTGAACAGAAATTATTTTCTGGCATAGTTGGACCATTACAAAGTTTTTGAAGTGCATTGAGCTAAACCTTACAGCTAACTAACTAATATCTAAATCTCATTAAAGTAACACAAACTAATTATTATATCCATGGTAAGCAATAAAAATCTTGTAAATCCATCTGTCTTTTTGAACCACATAACTCCAGTTTCTGAGCTTTGTTTAGAGAGATTTGAAGTACATCTAAATATTTAATCTATAAATGAGTAAGGATTGTCTACTTAGTAAAACTTATAGGAACTAAATCTGAATAACATTATACACGTTATATTAAACTCTATTTTTTCTCTTGTAAAATTTACTAAAAAGTAGTTATGAGATTTTCATTGCCTACCACCAAGAGGTCAAAAGTTATCACTCTAATTAGATCGTACACTAAATGGGTAATGTTAAAATTTCACAAAGATAAAATTCATCAAATTCTTCACTAGTATAATTTTCTACAATATAAGTTCCATATATTTATCATCTGATGATTTTTCATCATCAGATGATAAATATTCAATTATTTAAATATAATATCGGATCTGAAATTGTTAATTGTTAAGTAATATTATTTTACATAAATTATTATTTATAATTTTTTTTTGTCATTCCTCGTATTATTCTACAACTCATGTATTATTTGGTTTTCTAAAACCATCAGCTTTCCAACGATATATTGGGTTGAGGAAAAAGTAATTTGATTATATCACAATAGATAGAAAGAATGGCTTCATTGGATGAGGATTACAAGTGATGAATCCTTATTCAATGAAGCCCTTCTATAGTGCATTTGAAAGGTCACAGTCCATAGAACTTTTTATATATAAAAATAGCATAATTTATTTACTCAATCACCAGTTATTGTACTTTAAAAATGAAGATTCCGGAAGGTTATGTTCACCATATAATGCTGTTTTACTTCTAAAAAGCAGAAAACGCAGTGCTGGTTTATAGAAAATTGTATGATGTTTATGGTTATATCCATAAATTGTTAACATCGCAATACTTTCTCTTACTGTATATTACATATATAGGTAAGTGAAAGTAAAATTCATAATAATTAATTAAGCTTTTTTTTTCTCAGTTTTGACTGCCATGATGTAGTTGGCATGTGTCAAAGAAATTCACAAGTTGCTATGATGCTTGGAAGAAAGGATCTGGGACAAGTCTGGAGCCTGGCAGCACTTGCAGCAACACCTCCAGTTTTTGATGAAGATGAAGATTTTCCTTGGGCATCACATCCCCTTTCTATTGGAATGATTCATTCAATGTAAGTTCATAATATTTATAATTGAAGGAAGTTAATCGACTGTTCTACATAGCATGGGTGATAAATATTCAGGACGCAGTCTTTCTTTAAAAAAAAAAAATTTATAATTTTTTATTTATGCCAACGTTTCAACCCAACCATGTGGGTCATCTTCAGGGTGTGGTTTGAGCACTGAGGGTGTTCAAGTACTGACCCTGGGTCACTGGGAGGGTACTTGAACACCCTCAGTGCTCAAACCACGCCCTGAAGGTAACCCACATGGTTGGGATGAAACGTTGGCATAAATAAAAAATTATAAAATTTTTTTTTTTAAAGAAAGACTGCGTCCTGAATATTTATCACCCATACATAATATTTATACTGCATAAATCTTGCTTTGTTTTTTTAGATAATGTTAAGAAAAGCTAATAATTTCCATTTTTGTTGTTATAAGCTGTCAGCATTATTTTGCTGTATACAATAATGCATGTTTATGTTTAAGTGCTAATTAACACTAACTCCTTGGAACTACAGGCTACCGTACTAGTGGTCTCATGAGTTATTCTTCTCTACATCTATCTGTCCTGTGCTTCTCTCCAATTGCAGACTCCTAGCTTCCTTGCACATCGTCCCCCACATAATGCCCCGCCCTCCCTTCCGGCCCGGGAAAAACCCCATGGAAGGGGAGACAAAAAAAACACAACTTTATTGAGATTTTTGTGTTTGACATTTTTGAGTCTAGCCTCACCAGTTCAAATCTAGCCTGGATGGGTTGAAATTTATTTTGTGGTGGACCCATGGAATGAATCTTGATCTTCTCAATCTGGTTAGAATTGGTTTGGTTGTACCTCTTCCTACCCGTTCCTGTCTTGAGCTCTTATTTAAAAAGGAACAGGCTCATCTGATATCAAATGAGCAGTTTAAAACCATTTCCAGATTTTTAACTCTTACATTTGATTGTGGTGCCTGAAAGGTTTACATTAACTGGTCTACTGTACCTAAGGCTCTGTCTGGGTATAGTTGGTAAAAAATTCCTTGCAAAATTAATGACTTGCAAATATGCACCTCACAAGAAACTTATCAGCTATGTTTCAGATCTCCTGTGTCCCATAATAGATCTAAATGTCTTGAAACTGCAATTTTTCACCTTTTTTTTTCATAATCACTATGTTTCAGTACAATTTCTTAATCTTCCCTTATGTCATTTAACTTATGAATCATTAACAAGAATTTTTGAATGCTGCTTCAACATTTAGATCACAGGATTCAATCACTGTTTTCTGTGAAATACTCATAAATATAGTAAAAAAAAAATTGGAGATAAATTTATCCAATGAAGACGATGAAAAAAAAATAAAAGAAAAAATGCCAAAATTTAATTTTTTACTTTTACAAAATCCAATTTTTACTTTCACTTATCTAAATATGTGATATATATAGTAAGGGATAGTATTGTGATCGTGAACATTTTCGAATCTGACTTTTCAACAGAAATATACATTTTGAGATGCCCTGAGTCTAAATAACCTAGTTCTGCAAAATGTTCTGTGTGTATGTGAACAGTCTAGCTCAAAAACGAAAAGTCGTACATAACTGATATTACGTATTTAAGATAGGTAGATTGCCTTAGAAGTGACAGCAACTTTTTCCTTTAATTAGGCTAACCGGTAGTGCCACTTTATATCAACGGTGAAATACATATTTACAATTTTTCATAAACGGCTCTAATGATTTTGATTAAACTCGTAAAAGAAAAAAACTTATCCAGGTCGAAAATGAATATCCAGAAATAATAGTCAGAAGGTATACGTATAATATATTGTTAGAAAGCGGAGAATTAAAAAAACAGAAAACAATATCTAATATAGATAGTTGTAGAAGGTAACGAAGAGTGAAAAAAAAAATGTAAATAATAATTTCTAAAACTAACATTATTTAACGTTAATTACGTGCTGTCAAGGAAATTAAATGAAATTTTGTTACCAAATTTAAACTTCTATATTTTTTTAAAGTAAAAGTATTTAAAATCCACTGATTCAAGGCAATGACTTTGTTTAAACTATTATTTCATTCTACTTGTGTGAAATATAAAAATATTTCATGAATATGTTTATAACCTTAAATACTTAAATATATTTACTGTAGTTTAATAACTCTAGATCTGATATTATATTTAAATAATTAGGTATCTATCGTCCGTTTATTCAGAAAAATCATCATGTAACCTTTTAGAAAATTAAATTATTGAATAATTTGATTAATTTTTCCTTTGCGATATTCCAACATTAGCTACTTACAATTAGTGTGACAACTTTTGACCTGTCTATGACAGATAATGCAAATCTCTTAATTTCATTTTAGTTAACTTTGCAATGGAAAATAAGAGTTTAATAACTAATAGTTGTACAATTTATAATCAACGGATCATATAATCTATGATCAACGGATCTTACAATCCATAATCAACGGATCGTATAATCCATAATCAACCGGTGATAAATAAATAGGACTTTTTATGGTATTTATGATTTGTTAGCTGTAAGCTTTTAGCTAGCCTAACGCGGCCAGATAATCATTTCTATTCAAAGTTGAGCGGTAAGTGAAAGTTGTGTGTTGCACGTACCAGATTTTTTATATATTTCCTGTAAAAGATTGTAACCGATGTTCTCAATGTTCAAGCAGAACTCAAAATGTCTATTGATAGTCCATGACATATGTAACATTGAAAAATTTTTCATATGCACAATGATTATACAAAAAAATAAAGTGTAAGAGGTGGGATGATTCAGCTGACTAACACACGTGCAAAACATGTATTACTCAGCAATATGATAAACTGAAGATTGCAGGTTTGAGTCCGGGTTCCAAAGATTTTTAACTCTGGCATTAATTTCCCACCATCTCACGTTGCCCAGGAAATAACATCATATAGCCGAAAGGCAACATAGGGAAGAAAGAAAAAAACTAGTACTGTAGGGCATTAAAGATCTGAAACATGAGTGATAAGAGTTTCTTATGACGGTGTCCGTATTTGTATGTTGGCAGACATTCATCTCTATAGGTCACTTTTCCTCTATACAGTTTCAAGAAAATCTGATGATGAGGTTTAGACTCAATGTTGATTTCATATTGAATGAACCAGATAGTGCACTTGATGGTATTTTTCCTCAATGATTATAAATTAGCTGATTAAATATGTTGATTGTTACAGAATAGCTCACTATGCAAAACAATCCGATGTACAAACTGCTGCAATGCTCTGTTGTGCTTTTGGGCGTAGGGCAGAAACTCAAGGAACCGGTACAACAAAGAACATGAGTAAATCTGTTAATCCCAGTGTAAGTTTATTGGCAGTTTTCTTCAAAAATTAGGAATATATATATGTGTGTTATTAAAATAAAATAAAAATATGGAGTACTAATTTTATGTATTTCTGCCTTCCTGAAATTGTTTTGTCTACATCATAGTGAGAAACCTTTTTACCATTAGAGGCCGCAGTAAGGTTAGGCACTGATAATAGAGGCTGCAATATTTTTTTATATTTTACTGCTGCCATTTTATTAATAAGTAAATGCACACCCATATACCTATACTCAACTGAATTTCATTAACTTCCAAATTTTTGTAACCTAAATAATTAACTATTAATTTATTGTAGCTCTATATTAATGAATATCACATAACATCTAGATTTGATGTTTAATTGTGACTTCTCTGTATGCTATACAAAAGTAAAGAATCTATGTTGAATTTAATTTCTGTAGCCTGAGTTGTTCAGATGTACAGAAATATTGGAGCTTTTCAATATTTTTGTCACACCTTAGTGTATTGCTGTTTGTTTTCCTTTGATTTAAATTAATAGCGAATGATTTAATTTATAAAACTGATCATTTCTAATATGTTTGCATTGATGAACTATATCTATCTGTATTTAATGTTTTATTTCTATAAATAGCAATCTAATTGCTTATGAAATTATTTATCACATTTTTATAGCTGTTGATTCATTTGTTCTCATTATGCATCCACAAAATAAATATTCCTATGTTTTAATTTTAGTTTGAAATAACTACATTTTTATAATTATATTTTAGCCTGGAGGATCGCCTTATCATACAATACATAAGGTTGAGTCTTTAATTGAAGGATGGAATATACCCCTTCTGAAGCAAAACCGTTCGAGTTCTTGGTCTGAAAATCTTGATGAGTTTCATGTTGCCAATTTAGTTGAGCTCTCTCCTCTTGATACTGAAGAGGAAAAACCGTTAAGGTAAATAAGTTCTGTTAGCTTATACAGTCATATCTGTTATTTTCAGTATATTTCTTGATATGTATTTGTAATTTATATTTTCAACACATTTACTGCAATATTTTTTCTAAAAAAAAATATAATAAATTATAAACAACATTATAATTATCAACAATTAAAGAAAGCCATGCATTAATTTCTAAGCCAACTAGTGAACTTATAAAACTTAGATTATTACTTAAAAATATGAATTTAATTAGTTTTTAAATATTATTTTCCTGTTTAGTTTCTAACGAAAATGTAAATTATTTTATATGTTTCAGTTTATATTAGTTCGGTTTTTAATTTATTTACTTTTTTTTTTGTGAAATAAAAGCAGTTTAATTAATTTCCTCTAGTTCTTTTCAATATTAGTTTTTAATAATAAATGTTCACATTTTTGTAGATCTTTAGAAATAGATTTAATATCGAGTTTCTAAAATTCTTTTTATTTTATGTCTGATCAATTAAATTGATTTTGTTTATTTATTTTTTTGTGAAAGTTTGTAGGTTAATAGATAAATAAACTGTAATGGTCAGTATAGAAGGCCTCTCAGACATGATTTGTTGCTCCATTCTGAAATCTTCCTGCTACTCTAAAGATTGGACACAATTAGTGTTCTCAATCTACGCTCGACGGTGAATATAGCATTTCCAAGTCAATTTCAACCTTTTCCAAGTCAAATTAAACCTTTTCCATTTCAAATTCAACCTTTTCCAAGTCAAATTCAACCTTTTCCATTTCAAATTCAACTTTAGTATTTTTGTCAATTTTCGATTTTTTTCAAAATGAAGGCCACTTACTATATTATCGACGGCATAGCTTTTAAAAAATACAAAAAAAAATTTGATTACGCAGTTGCATATCCATTTATTTTAACATTTTAGATTTTTTCAATGTGATATTTCTATGTGATATTCAATTATTTCCAAGTCAAATTCAACCTTTTCCAAGTCAAATTCAACCTTTTCCAGATCAAATCAAACTTTTTCCAAGTCAATTCAACCATTTCCATTTCAAATTAAACCTTTTCCAATTCAAATTCAACCGTTTTCTTTTCAAATTAATGTTTTAAGTTTTTGTAAATTTTATATTTTTTTTTTAAATAATGGCCATCCCCTCCCCCCCCTCCAATATGAAAGTCTATTATTATGCTCTCCTAAGTAGAATTTCCACTTAAGGATATCGATTTATTGTACCTATTCGGATTTCTTAGGGACTAGTATTATGCTTTCCTGTACCTAGTTTTGAAAATAACCTCCATTTTAAGATTACGTGACTGCGTTTCGAATCATTTAAGTTTTTTTGACAAATTCGATATGTGGGTGTATTTTTATGTTTCCCGATCAGTAAATTTTGAAAATGACATCCATTTTATGTTTACGCCACTGTGTTTTGACTTATTTAAGTTTTTAGAATTTATCCAATATAAAGGTCTACTTTTATGTTTCCAGAGCCGTAGATTTTGAAAACGACCTTCATTTTAAGATTAGGCCACCGCGTTTCGACTTATTTGAGTTTTTCGGATTTTTTTCATATGAGGATGTATTCTTATGTTTCCGGAGCCGTAGATTTTGAAAACGACCTCCATTTTAAGATTAGGCCACCGCATTTCAATTTCTTTGAGTTTTTCGGATTTTTTTCATATGAGGATGTATACTTATGTTTCCGGAGCTGTAGATTTTGAAAACGACTTCCATTTTAAGATTAGGCCACCGCATTTCGATTTCTTTAAGTGTTTCGAATTTTTATCATAAAAGAGTGTATTCTTATGTTTCCGGAGTCGTAGATTTTGAAAATGAACTGCATTTTAAGATTATGCCACTGCGTTTCGGCTTAATCAAGTTTTTCGAATTTATCCAATTTAAAGGTCTACTTTTATGATGCCGGAGCCTTAGTTTTTAAAACGACTTACATTTTAAGATTAGGCCACTGTGTTTCGGGTTTGTTAAGTGTTTTTGATTTTTCCCTTGAATAAAAAACATAATACGAAGGATTAATTTATTTTTCAATAAATAAATAAAAATATCTAATCAAAATAAATAAAATATGTATTGTCTCATTTTTAATTTAATTTTAGTTATCTTTTTTAATGTTGTGGTCTCCTATCACAAAATTATAAGATTTCGAACAATTAGCTGAAAAATCTGAATACGGAAGGTTAAATTTATTACCAGTTGCTTTTCGGCTTTTTAGTTTGTATTCTATGGTTAATTTTACTTTAGCTTCATAATATTTATTTATTTATTCATACTCGAAAACATATTGATGAAACTTTGTATTGAAAAAATCCAAAATGAAGCCTAATTAATCAAGATGCAGCGGCTTAATCATAAAATGGAGCTTAAATATTAGATAAATTTAAATATTAAAGATTAGAAAAATTTCAATACGTCTCGGATAACATATAAGTAGATCCTTATACCGAAAAAGTAAAAAAAAAAACTTTTATAATCCAAAACAGTGGCATAAACTTTAAATTGGGTCAGTTACAAAATGGGGGAAATCTACTGCTCCAGAAACATAAAATTAGACCTTTGTACTTGTTAAATTCTAAAAATTTAAAAAAGTTGAAACGCAGTTGCGTAATCATAAAATAAAGGTCATTTTCAGAATCTACGATTCCGAAAACATAAAAATAGACCTTTAAATTGGATAAATTCTAAAAACTTAAATAAGTCAAAATGCAATGGCGTCATCATTAAATGGATGTCATTTTCAAAATCTACGGCTCAAGAAACATAAAAGTAGACCTTAATATTGGATAAATTCGAAAAACTTAAATAAGTCAAAACGCAGTGGCGTAATCATAAAATGGAGGTCATTTTCAAAATCTACAGCTCCGGAAACATAAAAATACACCCTAATATTAAAAATATCCGAAAAACTCAAATAAGTTGAAACGCGGTGGCCTAATCTTAAAATGGAGGTCATTTTCAAAATCTACAGCTCCGGACACATAAAAATACACCCTCATATGAAAAATATCCGAAAAACTCAAATAAGTCGAAACGCGGTGGCCTAATCTTAAAATGGAGGTCATTTTCAAAATCTACAGTTCCAGAAACATAAAAATACACCCTCATATGAAAAATATCCGAAAAACTCAAATAAGTCGAAACGCGGTGGCCTAATCTTAAAATGGAGGTCATTTTCAAAATCTATAGCTCCGGATACATAAAAATACACCCTCATATGAAAAATATCCGAAAAACTCAAATAAGTCGAAACGCGGTGGCCTTATCTTAAAATGGAGGTCGTTTTCAAAATCTACGGCTCCGGAAACAAAAAAGTAGACCTTTATATTGGATAAATTCTAAAAACTTAAATAAATCAAAACAGTGGCGTAAACATAAAATATATGTCATTTTAAAAATTTACTGATCGGGAAACATAAAAATACACCCTTATATCGAATAAGTCAAAAAAACGTAAATAATTCGAAACGCAGTCACGTAATCTTAAAAAAAGGGTTATTTTAAAAAACTACTCATACGATAACAGACCCACGCATCGAAAAATTAAAGATAATTAAATAAATAAAAAAGGTTGAATTTGAAATGGAAAAGGTTTAATTTGAAATGGAAAAGGTTGAATTTGACTTGGAAAAAGTTAATTTGATTTGGAAAAGGTTGAATTTGACTTGGAAAAGGTTGAAATTGACTTGGAAATGCTATATATTAATCTCATAGGTCTCTAGTTAGAGACGGGTTGGCTTATAGTTTCTATATTCAATTTTCTCTTTATTCATTTATGATATTTTATCCTCAATCACTGAATGTTATTTTCTTTTAATTTATTCTAAAATAGTACCTTAATGTCTTTCTAAAGTATATATCTTCCTGTTCTTTTAATTCAAATCATTAACCATTTTTGTTGATTTGATTTCTTCAGCTGATCTTTGCTTTCTGTAGATTATCCTACCTAGTCTCTGCACAGATAAGATCTTTTCCCTCTTGGTGTAATTTCTTTAACTGCTCATCAACCTGAGAATTTAATCAGATAAAATCTCATTTGTTATCTTCATGGCTATCTAACATGTGTTGGATGCAATCCTCTATCATAGATATGTTTTTGATGTCCTTAATGTGTTCCGCCTTGTAAGATTACTTTTTTCTTGATATTGAAATTTATTTGAGAAATTTAGGATTAAGAAATATTTTTATGATAAAATCATCAAAACAAAATAACATAGATCATATATTTAATTCTAAGTTAGTTAAATAATCTTAAGAATATGTATGTATTAAAATATTTTCTCATTTATTATATTATAAATTATCAGGGTCTGCCTTGAAGAATCATGGTTTTATGAGGAATATAAGAAAGCATATGCTGAAATTTTACACCAATGGTATTTACTTGAAGCTCGAGCTCAGGTATGTAGTTTTATGGTTTTAGTATCTAACCTGATGGATCTAGTTTATTACTTTATTACTCTATACCTCTATGTCAAATTTCGTATTGGTGACTAATCTTTTTACTCCTAATACATTGAAAGAATAAGAAATAGTAGAGAAACATTTTCATTTATACAATGTATTGTTATCCAGAAAGTCCTATTTTACAATGCCTATGTTGAAGTAACAATTTAATTAATAGGTAATTGACTTGTCCTAGCGGAATATATCTAGTCAGTTAAACAGTATAACTTAGGTAATTGTAAACTTATACTAGCCCATTATTGTACTCGCTAAAACCTATTGGGTTGAAAAAGAAGAGCAGGATCCTTAGTTTGTAGTTCTTGCACCAATTAAGTGTGAAATATTAGAAACCAAACCTAAATAAGAACTTCATATCACATTGTTAGTATTAACATTCAAGAAAATTGAAATATTTCCACATAAGGTGTTAATTTTTATTAATAATATCTAACTACATCATCCAATGTGCCTATGGGATCTCAGAACTATTCCTCATTTACTTTTTCAACAGAGTTTTAGTTAGCTGTGAACTGTAATAAGTAGCAATATTTTAGCTTTTGAAAACTTAAACATATGATAAGTATCCCATGGCAACTGTGGTATCTAGGAAAATTTCAGCATGAATGACAGTTTATCTTGAAAATGTTACATTTTGGAGCCTATGTATAATGGAAGGCCTGGTATATACTGAAGGAACTTTACTGGGTCTTGATGACCTTATTAAAATCATCAAAACAAAATTGTGCCTTTCTCGAGCCATTGACTTACCAATGTCGGAGTTTTGGAATATCTTTTTGAACTACTTTTGTTAGAAACCATAAAATTTGGATGCGTCACTTCTCCATGAAATTCTCTTTCTTTTGACTACTCATTTTTCAAAACACATCACTCCTGAAAGTTGGAAAAGGGATTTATACTTCTTTATTTTAATCGTAGATTATTTTAATTGCATGGAAACAAGTTATTATTTCCCTCCCTTCATTTCTAGGTAATGAAATATATTGCTCACTCTGATGAGAAACATAGTGGTCTTGAACTAAAAGCAGAATGTCCGTCTTGTAAGAAACATAGCATAGAACCTTATTGTACAGTCTGCCAAATACCAGTATTACAGTGTGTTATTTGCCATACTTCAGTGAAAGGTGAGACAGAATTATTAACCTAATATTATTTCTTTTTAACAATTTTATATTTCAGGATGTGCCACAATCGAGATTAGGGAGGTTTTGTATTTATGCGGGAGATTAAGGAAAATCAATTCACATACACTGAGATAAATGAAATATTTATTCAACTCTATTTCATTGTTCGATCACAGAATAACTTTTCCTGAATCCAGCTTGATTCTCATTTATGAATTCCATTATTATCCCTGTGTTCCTTAAGGATAGAGGCAAACACCTTCGACACATTTTAGCAAAGAGATATGGGTCTATAATTGATATAATAGGTCTATTTATGCTTTGTTGATTTTCAGAAAGTGTTGGATATAGCATTTTCCATAGAAGTATCTGTGAGGCTCTACAAGCAATAGGTATATAGTGCAAATATATTGGTATAGTTATGAAATTGTACAAGGATTTGGAAGAATTCCTTGCTGCTGGACGGATTGCCCCAAACTTTGCTGTCAAGAGAGGATACTGTTCATCTTAGTGCTGGAAACAGTATTTTGGCGTATAGACTGGAAGGACGTGGGCATCAAGATCAGTGGAAGATGGTTAAACTGCCTTCAATTTTCAGATGACTTTGTTTTTTTAGTGTGCACTACAGATCTTACAATGATGCTAAAAACTTTGGTAGAGAAGTGGGGCTCTCACCTAACTTTGATAAAACCAAAGCTAATGACGAACGCTGAAAAGTGATTATCAAAGTTGAAAATCAACACATATATCATGTAGAGGACAATACTTGCGTACTCCCATCTGTTTCCTTTGGCAGTCAAACTTGGACCTTAACTAAAGCCTAATCAAAAAAACTGATAACCTGGCAAAGATCAGGAGGAAAAGGCATGACTAACATAAAGAAGAAGAAGATTAGGAATAGTGTCATCAGAGAGAAGACTGGTCTGAATTGCAAACTCGGCTATAATTGTATATTATTTGTTACTCAATTATAATCTGTATGTTAATTGTTGCACACGATTTTGTATTATATGCTCTACAATAAACCTCTCTCATCTAAGACTGACTAACATTTCCTATATCTTTATTATATTATTAATATTTTGGTTCTTCTCTTTTCTAGGAGGAGCGAATTCATGTTTAGTTTGTGGCCATGGTGGACATACTCAGCATATGATGCAATGGTTTGCAAACAACATGGACTGTCCCAGTGGTTGTGGATGCCAGTGTCTTTTTGAAACTGCATCTGTGCTGGAACCGTAGTCGAAATTACTAAAGAAAAATAAAAACCAAAGAAAATCTGGATCATATAAGTGAAGCTGTGTTATTACCGTATGAGCCTTTCAGTTGAAAGAATGACTAACACCAACTTCAACATTTTTTATTATTAATTATTATTATTATTAGTTTTAATAATTAATTTTATTGATATTTCTAGTGGGAAAATTTATACTTTGTTGACAGAGTTCTATATTTCAACACTGCAGTCACCTACTCTGGAATCAACTTACTCACTGTCTGTACAGATATCATAAATTTTCCAAGCATAAATATCACTAAAATGACTTTATTTAAAAATGTTAAAATTGGGGTTAGTCACTTGAAAGGCTCATATATCAGTAGGGTGGTTGTGAGAACTGTCATTGTGTTGTATATTATTTATTTATCAAGATGCAATGACATTGCTTCAATTTTGGAAATATTTTTGAATTGTTCCTTTGTATTATTTTTTTATGTGCTGTGGTATTAAATACTTCAAGAAATGATTTAATTACTTCTGTGGTCTGTTTGACATGCTACTGTTGTATAATAAACTAAGACCCATTTTATAAATTTGTTTATTGTAAGGAAAGTGTTTATTTTTATTTTTGTAAAACATTTGTTTTGTAAATATTAGTATAAGTTTTTATACTAATGAAAAATAGTAATTAGGAGTTTATTTATATAGAATAAATTTAAACTTCACGATTAAAAGGAGATTTTACCATTGTTATTTTGATGCAAAATTTTATACAAGGCCAGAGAAAAAAATTGTTGAAGTGTGGTAAAAATGAACTTAAATAAATTGTTTTTCTATTTTTTTTTCTTTAAAAATGTATAACTATATAAATATATACTAGTTTAGATAAAAATTAAAATTGAGTTCCTTGATTTGATCAAATTATATTTTTTTATAATTGAAATTTATAGCTCATTAATGAATTTTTTAGTTGTTACTATATTTTATTTTTGAACCAGCTATGACTAATTACCATGCTTCCTTATGCTTTAATATTATATCGAACAATCTTTGTGAAAAACCTCATAGTTTCTTAGATATCTTAAAAAACATAAAAAAAATATCAGTTTTCTATCGTCCTTCTTCCCCCATCATAGCTCAACAGGGTAATGAACAATGAATAATTTCTGAAAAGTTTAATTTTTTTTGCTTGGATGTTTAGGTCAATCCCTAGTTTTACTATAGTATATATGATGATCACCAATGTTTTTCTTAGCCTTAAATAGTAATGAAATTCGGGATGAATTTCAATATTAAAAACCTTAATTTGTCAAATTAAAATTACTATTATTTGTAGTCTTTATTGCCTCAAATATCCCCCTTATGATGAGAAATTCTATTTCTTATATTTATTACTTCATATTTTATAGTTCACATCCTCATGTATGAAACAATAGAGATATATTTTTAATCAAAATTAGTTGCACTTATTTCACTAGATTTCACCTCGAGCTCATTTCTTCTTGCTTTAATCACTGTAAGGTCTAGCAGAGATGAAAAGAATAACACCCATGCTATGGCCCTATTCAAGATTATGCCTCTTCATAACATGAGCAAACTGAAAGGTTTCGCCAGATTCATTTTTGTTGAGGGGAGTTAGTTGCTTTTCAAATTCTAAATACTTGAAGTTCAGTTAGTGACTAACGAAAAGCCTAAAAACTGGCTAAATTCACAGTTTTTTCATTAATTGCATGGAATGTAGTCTGAACTAACTTGGGTCAAGTAAAGCAGTCATGTATAAAGGATGTCCCATAAATAGAGGGTAATTTTTGAGGTGAGTGATAGCAGACCTACAAAAAAGTTCATATAAACAGCCAATTTTCAGCAGAAAAGTAAGAAATCCAAGTTTTGTGGTAAATCATGTTTTTTGTTGAAATGAAGTGATAACTAAATAAATATTGAATTTAAGTAATTAACAATTACTTATTTATTATTAATTTTACGGATGTTTCTAGTTGCAAAATTTATACCTTTATTCACAGTTCTATATTTAAACTCTGGAATCATCTTACTCACTGCCTGCACAGATATGATTTTTCCAACTAGAAATATCACTAAAATGGCATTATTCAAAAATGTTGAAATTGGAGTTAGTCTGTCAACTGAAAGGCTCAGAGAGTGAAGTTGTGTAGTTTATAAAAGCAGATGGAGTAACTAGAATTTTAATGCCTTCCGTCAATATAATAAATATCCTTTTTGTAAGTTTAATGATTTGTTATCTGTAAGCTTTAAATCCGTTTAAAGTGCACTTCAACAATTTTATAATAGCCCAAAAATGCCAGAAAATAATTTCTATTCAAAGCAGAGCGGCAAGTGAAATTTGTGTGTTGCGCTCTCCTGATTACCTTGTATTTATTGATTCTATCTCTAAGAATCAGTAAATATAAAATAAAAGTGTTATAACAAAAATTGCAAACATTATACAAAAATTCAAGATATTCAGTGAAGTATTTTTAAATTGAATGAAATAATTTTGTCTGACAATTAAATTATAGCGTTAATATTTGTTTGTTAATACAATCAAAATAATATACCAAAAACGTTATTATAGCTCTATAACTATGTCATTTATGAGTACTGAATGATGTGGCAGGTGGCAATAGGTGCCTACACCGGTACCACTATTCCGCCGATTAAGTGCATTTTCTACAGAACTTCAAATATTTTAAAAAGTAATCTGTGTTTTAGATAGAGAAATGTATTCACCAGATGTTTTATTTAAGGGTACTTTTCGTTATTGTTGGCCGTTTAATTACAAGCAATGCTTGATTAAATAGCTGCTTTTTGTCCATCATCCGGGGAGGGTGGCTTTAAAAATTCGCTAAATACAAACTTTTTTATATATTAAATTAGGAAATTCATCTATGAGGAGAGGGAATTTTTCCTATATTTCTCTTTTCTTTAAACAGCTGTTTTTTAGAACTTATTTTTCCACCTTCTAGGGCCCCATGGCTGAAATCACTAAAGCTGATCACAATAATAATTTCTTTATATTACATTAGAAAATTCGTCTGAGGATGAATTTTCCCTATCTTCCTCTTTTCTTTAAATAGCTGCTTTTCGGATTTTTCCCACCTTCCAGGAGGGAGGGGCACCCCTACCTGGATCTGCCAGTGTCTATAGTATAGTTGGATAATAAAAAAATCGCAAATAACTTATGATTTTTTTAAAAACAGAACTAGGATTAGTTTAGTGGCTCAAAAATCCTCTTTAAGTAGTTTTAATGACAAACTCTTTGTCATTCAAATTAAATTTTGTTTAGTTTACAGTGAAGCAATTCTTAATTACTTAAATTAAATATTTCTTTAGTTATCGCTTCATTTCAACAAAAAACATGATTTACCACAAAACTTGGATTTCTTACTTTTCTGCTGAAAATTGGCTCAGTTTATATGAACTTTTTTGTAGGTTTTGAGATCTGTTATCACTCCTCTAAACTTTTCTCTCAACTTAAGGGACACCCTGTATAATAAAGTGCAACGTTTGTAGATCCTATTCAATTTTCATTATGTATGAGAGAATCTGTACCAAGTATCATCTCATGGATACCACTCAACAAGAACTTATTTACCAAAACATACAATAAAGAGGCTAATGATATGTGTGTAGCTCGGGGTTTCTTTTTATATTATGTATCTGTAGAGGCAAGATTCATGTAATCATCAATCATCATCAATTGCTCTTTTTATGGAGATATCTTTACAGGAAAATAAAAGTATACAAAATGAAAAACTTAAAACCATGCATAAATATTGAGGCAAAGTAATAAATACAACAAAGAAAAAAACAAAAGTGTTTATTTATTTATTTTAATTATAAATGATCTATCCTTGAGCTGAAAAGAAAAATTATTAGAAATATAGAAGACTCAAGCTAATAAAAAAGTATATTTAAAAAAAATATCAATATTTTAAAACAGTACTAGACCAGTGGCCCCTTAATTAAATTGTTTAGCAAGCAATGTCTTTCTCTGAAAAACTAACGTTTGATATATATATATATATATATATATATATATATATATATATATATATATATATATATATATATATTGAAAATTGGACATTATAGAAGCAAGACAGACAACTTTCATTAAAAACATTTATTTTTCACTAACATTAAATATTTATTTGAGTAATCAGCAAAATATTACTCTAAGTTCCACCTAGATATCCTAAAGGAATATCATTGCTTGTTACATTAAACAAATAAGAAAAAAAAAAACTAAATTCATTAGAAACACTAACAAAAATATTTCACACATAATACAATAATTTTTTTTTTTCATATAACAGTTATTTTCTTCATATCTATCAATCAGAGCATACTATAATGGAGCTAAGTCGTTTAAAATAATATAAATAGCTGTTAGAACAAAATACAAAAGTCTTTGTTTCATGAAATCATTAACTATTAAAATCATCAATGTGGCTATTAATAAGAGTACTAAGCTTATATAACAACAATTTAGGACAATATTTAAGGAAATAAGAATTTCTGATCACTACAGCTGCATTACCAGATTCTGAGTAAAATTTTGGCAAAGTTTAACATTTATCAAATAATGGATTACAGAGAAAAAGTAAAATAAAACACAACTCAGATATCTGGGGACACTGAAGGGATGATGCTACATAAATGAAGTCAGAGTTATAAAATAAATTAAAAAAAATAATTGACTGAACTCATTTAGTGGAATACATTTACGATTTTTAGAACTCGTTAATATTGAAACACAGAAATGGACGAATTCCCAGAGCTCTAGTGATTATCACATAAAAAAAAAAAAAAAATTTCAACTACCTTAATGACTCAGATTGTCCTTAAGAGTTCAAATATGCATACATATATTTATTTTTCACCAGTTTCACTAAATTAAAAATTAACATGTGAAAAAAAAAAATTATAAAAAACATAAAAATAAATTTTCTAAAAAAAATATGTCAAATAAAAAAATAAATAAAATAATAAACTAGATGAGCTGTAGTGATAAAGTTTGATAGGGCTAATGATCTTTGAACAGCATTATAATCTATTTTGGCACCATATAAAATTTTATAAAAAGACATGATAATTGACTAAGTACTATTTCCTGAGGATGAACTTTATGATTTTACGATTTTAGAAAAATAGTGCCAGGTTTTGATCGATTACAAAGGTGATACAACAATCATATCTATGAAAACAATAAGAATATATTTAATTCCAAAATTACAGTAAATAAAAACTACAAATTTAGAGCAAAAATTGGAGGAAACCCTTGTTTAAATCATAAATAACAATTTTTGATGCAAAGATTAATGAAGAAAATAGAAAAAGAATCACCATCAAATTGTAATCCTCAATTCAGTGAAATGATTACTACTAAGTGTTACTATAAACTAATGATTAGCAAAGCTTATTAGAATATTTTAATAATTATGCAATCTATTCAAAGAAAAATCATCAGGCATATTAATATTAACTTAAACAAATAGTTAACAATATCTAAAATATAAAAAAAATAATAATTTAAACAAGCTCTTAAGATTTAAGTTTCTGGGGGAGGGAGGAAGAGTGTAATGTGAAACAGCTTTAACTAATTCCTTCAAGAAATCTATAATTAAGATTCTAATTTTAAAAATATCTATGTATGTGGCATGCAGATAAGGGAGCTTACAAATTTATAGAGGAGAAAAAATTTACAAAAAAAGATTTACAAAACAAATAAAAACAGGGTCACTTCATAAAAATGAAGATCTCTTCTACCATTTAAAACTTAGATCCATTACATAGTGAAGATCTATCAAATGAAATTATTTATAGAAATGAAACTAAAAAAGATAATTGGAAAGTTACATTTTGATGAACTTTCCTAAGAACTAGTGCTACAGGGTATCAAAA